TTTGGGAATTTTTTTTAAAAACTAGCGTACTTTGAGATTTTTTCCCTAGTTTTGATGACTCGAAATACACGTTTTTCGGTACCAAAACTTTGCTAAAATCCAAAAACTAGTTTTTCTGCATTCTTTTCAAAGAGAAAATCGAGTCAAGTGTGGTTCTCGCTGGTTCCTTGCGTTCGATGGTTTCCGGGATTTGAGGTACTGCTACGCTGGAAAAGGTACGTCCTTTCTATCCTAGGAGGAATCATTCTGTAACATTGGGTACTAGAGGGGAATAAGATTCCTTAAGGAGAGACAGTGAATTCTTCGGCTAGGACGCTTGCATATGTATTTGTATGATTTCGTGATCTTATATGTTTCTTGTGTTGATTACATGATCTTATCATGTTTGCTTGTTTTGCAATAAAATAGTATACGTGAACAATTTTCACAACAATGCTCCTTGAACCTCGATTATTTATGTTTGGGTAACGTGAAATTTGAACAAATGGATAATTGGATATCAAATACATTGTGTAGTATTTGATATGTGAACGGAATCATAATTCATATTATTAGAAAAGTTCAAAAAAATATGACTTGTTTGAATTTGGAAATATCCACGTTGAAGTTTTGGAATAAATTTAGTCACAAACTCCAAGTACTTGAAAATACAACACTCCGATTCAAGTAATCAAGTTGTTGTGTTGTGACCATGTATTGAAGTGATACAAAATGGTGGGAAGTGTTCCCGAGACACGAAGTTTGATCTATGATAGTGTACTCATGTAAACTGTGTATTTACATAATATGATAAATACAAGGCTCGTATTTCCTAAGTGGAAAATTGTTTGGATAAAGCCATTACGAGCTTGTTTGATTCCAAGATCAACCACCAAGTTTAAATGCGTTCATCACATTGGTCCAATTCATTTATGTGACATGGATGAATGATAATTGTGCCAATTTAATTTGGACACTCTTTCATTCCAAGTGTTGCATGAGATGATAGAAGTATCTATACCTTGATATGCTAACATGTGCCACAAACTATGAATGGAGCAAATTCAAGATAGCCCTTCGTGGACTATGAGGTGATTTGGATGGTGGTAAGGAAATATGAACAACCATAGGTGTGTAAAACCTATACGACGAGGCTAGTGGGGACTTGTGAATCAAGTCTTTCAGCGCTGGAATGGGTCCAAATTGAATGCAAAGGTTATGTTCAAAGTAAGTTGAACATAGTATGAAAAAGGATACCTCCACTGTATTGGAGATGACATTTGATTAATTCTTGTTTATCCACAAGCGACAAGGAATTCTAATTCTGATGATGTTGGTCAAGACATGATAATTTATTTATCATGTATATGGTTTAGGACTTGATGTTTCCTATGTCATGAGGGAAAGGAAAATGAAGCTATGATTAATCCTTATAGCGATTGAATAAACTTGCCAAATAATGGTGGTTATCAAGATAAGCATAAGTGTCAGAATTGTTTATGGTATAAGTACACTATACCAGTGAAAAACAATTTGACTATGATCATCTGCGTAGAGCTATTGCCATAATTGTTTATGGTATATATAGATATATATCATTGTCAAACAATTTGGAACGAGAGCTCTATTGAGACGATCTTATTGAACTTAACGTCTGGATTACTTATGGTATATTTATGAAGTATATACCATTGGAAAGTAACTAGAAAATTGAATTAGAAATTCAATTGAATTACTTGTGGTATATCATGTTACGGAGAGGAAATGTCATTGGTAAGTAATTAGATGGGGTTTCCATTACTGGAATGCATCTGAATTACTTATGACATCTGTAGTTGCATTGATCAATACCATTGGTAAATAATTAGATAATATTTCTAATAAGACATGAATTATTTGTGGTATGTTAATCGAATTACATCATACCATTGGTAAACAATTAGATGAAGATAGTAGTTGTCAAGTTCAATAAGTAAAATCATGAAAAATAAATAGAAATTATTCCATGATGTTTGGCAAAGGGTAGAATTGTGGGGGAGATTAGTTGTTGTATAAACTACTATCTCAAAACCCTACAATGATACATAAACCTATCCATAACGAAAATGTGGAAAGGTAAACGAAGTCGTACTTGAGAGTATGAAGGTAACCAAGTCCAAGGGTTAACTTATGAGTAAACTCTAGCATATGTTGACATTTGTGTCAGAGAGTTAGTGTAAGAAGTGAAGTGAAGTGAAGTGTTCCTTGGGTGATTCCAATTAAAGTGATACTTAGGAGTTTTGCGTAAACGCTAAGCTAAGTCGTAAATGCCACTACATTGAAAGATATACTTGTGAATTTCAAGTACTCTAAGGTTAATGAAGTGCAGAGACTTCAACACCATTGGCACGTGCTACGATAATTGCAAGGCAATAAAATCAAGTCAAGCACACATGATGTGTAGTGAATCGAAAGAGACGAGTCTTTGGTGTATTATACCCAAAGGAACTAACTGGATGAAACACAAGGTATAATCCATTGATGGATATGGATTTATGGTTGCTGGGAAGTGGTATCTTGGAAAACGTCCAAGTTATACGATACACTCACTCTAAGCCTGATGAAGTTCAATAGTATGGCCCACAAAATCTAGCATCGATAAACACACTTTGTGAATATACAAAGTTGTGATTGCAAGGGCAAGAAGTGTTATGTAATGAATCTCGTCATATATAAGGGAAACATAACACTATATATTGGTTAATTTCTAGTGAAGTTATCGGAGTTGATAATTTAGATCAAGTGATAACAAACATGGGGCCCACCTAGAAATTAATTAAAGCATCGAAGGGAATGGACTCGTGGCCTAGGGAAAATCATCATAGCGGTAACTCTACTTAAGTAGGATTGGAAGACCCAATCTCTAGGTTCAAGGAGCATACAAAGTTGTGAATGATGGTCCGACATTGTCAAATTATTCAAAGTCCATTCTCATGATGAGACAATATCCAACTATAAGGGTAAACCTAAAAATGAAAGGTTTTTAATGGTTTCTAAGTTTGACACGTGGTGTGATCAAATAATGTTTTTTTCGGAATACACGTTTAGAAATCACCTATGTGAGTGTGAAGTGGAGCCGCTTCAAGGAGAATAAAAGAAGGCCAGTTCTCTAAGCACTCATGAAACCAGGTTGTGTTCATGGCTAAAACGAACACAACAATGAGAACCAGTGAATGGATAAGAGTTAGGTGTGTGACATATGTTGTCTTAGTATACAAGAAAATTCGACGGTTCAAAGATATCACATCTACAGATTGGTGAGTATGCTCAATATATGTTCACTAAGAAAGGTTCAAAGGGAAACCTACCTATCCCAATGCAACTAATTCTTAGTCGAGAATCACACAATTTTTTGCATAGTTTTAAAGTACAACAGTCTCCATTCATGTGGGGGATTGTTGGGATTTTTAATGGTGTGAATGGAAATGAAAGGGGAAAGATCCAAGAGAATCTCTTGAAGTACCATGTTGGTAAGATGTGGGAAGGCACAACCTCGAATTGGATCGATTTGATGTAATATGTGGTTAATCGATTAAATTGGTTTGTGTAACCAAACTAACCAAACCAAATCGAGTTGAACCAAATTGAATCAAACCGATATGGCGGTTGGAGTGAACCAACCGGTCCAACTACCATGGGCCGAACCGATGCAATGGTTCATTATTTTGAAATGACCAATGTGTTGGTTGGGGTGTAACCACCTATATGAAGAGTTGCCTCCCTTCAAACGCACCCCTTCATTTTCTATATATAACACCATACCCCTCTCTAGTTTTGATGACTAGAAATAAAAGTTTTTCCGGTACCAAAACTTTGCTAAAATCCAAAACTAGTTTTATTGCATTCTTTTCAAAGAGAAAATCGAGTCAAGTGTAGTTCTCGCCGATTCGCTGTGTTCGATGGTTTCCGGGATTTGAGGTACTGCTATGTCGGAAAAGGTACGTCCTTTCTATCCTGGGAGGAATCATTCCGTAACCTTGGGTACTAGAGGGGAATAAGATTCCTTAAGGAGAGACAGTGAATTCTGTCGGCTAGGACGTACGCTTGCATATGTATTTGTATGATTTCGTGATCTTATATGTTTCTTGTGTTGATTACGTGATCTTATCATGTTTGCTTGTTTTGCAATAAAATAGTATACGTGAATAATTTTCACAACACTTAGTAGCAATTAGTGCGGTTAATGAACCAAACTACTCATGAATGACTCAGTGTTCATTTCTAGAAAAAATTGTTTGACACTCGGCTTGATTTTAATTGAAGCGGCTCGCGAACAAGCTTGTATATAGACGAGCCAAGCTCGAGTCATGACATGTACTCAACTCGATCGTTGAGCTACAATCGACATGAGCTACAACTCGATTTTTGCTCATTAAACTCATTTGGCGAGCCGAGCTCGAGCTTGCCTATAAAGCTCGAGTTTGGAATAATTTTAACGAGCAGAGCTCGAACCATGTTAAAGTTTGGCTCAGATAATTAAGAACCCTAGTAGCGATAACGATAATGGACGCTCTTAAATGAGTTTAATGGCAATTCTTGTGTCTCAAATATGTGATAGTAGGCAGGGATGACAACTGATCGGGTTGGGGCCGATAGTGCATACCCATCATCCTACTCAAAATAGTACAAAATTTATTCATAGTCACATTAGAATTGAGTAGAAAATCAAAATCATACTCATTCTCTATCGGATTTCGGGTATCCATGATTATCAATTTGTAACAATTTATCTTGTAATTCCAACCAACATGTTAACATTCACACCTATATTGACTTTGCATAAGAGGAACAGTATGACAATAAATCAATAGAATGAAGAAAGTTGGTTAAAAATAATATTTCACGACAATATGATATATATGTATAATAAATATCAAACATGTTGAGAAAAAATAAATATCAAGACAAAATACATATGCATGTATATAATCGGGTGGGTTTGAAATAGATAGTGAGAGAACTCGCCACTCATTATCCATAAAATTCGAATTTAGATTTTACTATTATCAGCTGACAATTTTTCGAGTTCTAATTTTACCCTATCCAACTAGATTGGATTAGCTATCTGCCACGATGGATATTTTTATTCGTAGGTAGTAAACATACAACATCAGGTTAAAACAAAAAAAATTGTACGACCAAAACAATTTTTTTTAAGAAAATCAAAACATTTTTTAATTCATAGTTTCCCCCTGTATGTGGGTAACGGGCCGCGCCGCCCACGGGCTAACACGACACTGCATGGTTAGAGCACGAAACGAAATATATGGGCCGGTCCAGCACGAGCACGAATAATTCAAGGGTCGTGTCGGGCCTAAACTTTAAGAGCACGGGCACGGCACGATCTGTAAGTGAGCTGTGTCGAGCCTAATATTTTCGAGAGCTTATTGAGTATAAGAACGAAAATGGAACGAAAAGAATATTTATTTAATAGAAATAAATATAAAAAGAATTATAGGTTCAAATATTACAACATGCAATTACAAAAATAATTATTTATTGTTGTTAGAAGTGATCATAAAAATATATGCGTAATTACTACCAAAAGAAAAAATAGACGAATAATTAAACAAAGGCAAATCACACCACGATATACTTCCAATTTTCTTTTCCACCCCTTATTTGTTACATTTCTCAAATATCATTTGTTAATACTTACATTCTCCGCCCAATTTTCTCCTTTTTTCATTGCCTCTTTTATTTTCTTCCTTTTTAATTAGCACGATTATGAGTGCATCACGAACAAAAATAGGCACGACACGATTCAAACCGTGCTCAGACTCGAATCGAGCCTAGCAAAAATAACAAATAAACTGGCACAATACGACACAAAAACTAACGGACCTTGCCAAGCAGGACACGAAATAAATGGGGACAAAGCGTGCTTGGACCGTGCCCACGTACATTTCCCCCACTCCATTCCCATGTGCATTGTAGGGTAAAAGCACAAACAACAAGTTCCTTGGGAAACAATCAAGCGTGAGAAGCTAACATGGGCCTTGTTGTCAGACGAATAATGCTAGAGTATTTGAGTATTGACAATCAGTATCTTTTGTCATTCTCGGGTAGGGTTATATTATTCGATCTGCGTATCTGAGATGGCTGTCGCTCTGCCATTATACAAATCGGACCTTAGACACCAGGTCGGTCCATGGACGGTCCGTATCTAACACAACAAGTCACATGGATGAGAGTGCTAATCGCAGTTTGGTCCAGAATCCGCGGCCAGGGCCCCTAATGTTCGTCGATATCTTTATCGTGTTTTACGACCGTGCAGATCACGTAGCTATCATTAAACAGTTAGAAAACCAATGGTGTACACAATCGAAACAACTCTCTCTGCCAAAAAATGATCAAACTCTTCGATGTGAACTTGTGATGTCCTCATCCACACCAGAAACTTGGGTTTACCAAGCACAGGAAAGAGTTCAGTTCTAGTCCAATAAACCAGCCTTCTTATAACTCTCCACTGAGTCCACCAGGGTTTCTTGCAGTGAACGGTAGCTCCAGCCAAGCCTCTGCAACTTCTCTGAACTCATTTCTTTCTTCTGCTGTCCATCTGTAAAGCTGTCACTCACCAACAAAATTGTTGATTGCAATAGCCAGTTGAAAAGGAGAGGTAGATAACCAACATAGAATGCCGAATTGAGCTGCGATAGCAGAAGCACAAAAACACTTGTTGAGAGTGGGATTTGAACCCACGCCCTTTCGGACCAGAACCTTAATCTGGCGCCTTAGACCAACTCGGCCATCTCAACTTGTTGATGTTTAACATTCTAATGTTTTTCTACTTCTAGTATTATCCACGATTATTCAAGCAAAATATTGAGATATGAAGGGCTTACTTCTTAGGATAGTTGTAGCTGGGATACTCGTCCTTCAAAATATCAACAATATCCTTAACATGGACTGAATGCGAAGTGCAGATGTATCTCCCTTGTGCCTCAGGCTTTTCGTACACCAGAACCAATGCTTCAGCTACATCCCGCACATCCACAATCCGGTGGTGCCTATTATCCTCCAAGTCATGTCCTTCTGCATATGGCAGCAAACAGAGCTCATGAATGAGAATACATTTATTGTTCTAGCTGCGGTAACACAACCGAAGCAAAGATCAAAACCCATAAACCAACTTTGGAAGCAACTTTGCTACATGGATGTAAGCAAACTCAGCGTAATCAGAACACGTTTTAGACATTCGCACACAGGATAGTAATGGCTGGCTACCTTTCAAAAGCTTGGCGAGAAGCAAGGAACTTGCATTCGCCGTAGGCTGAAGGATTGGCCCGAAGATGAGATTGGGACAAGCACTTACTACATCAAGTCCATTGGCTTTCCCAAACTCAAATGCCTTGCTCTCAGCTTCTGTCTTGGAGGCACAGTACCAATTCTGCAGGCAACCAACAGTATAAGATTAACATGGGTTCCCATTAGAATTTGGATACAAAAGCAACCGTTTTTTGGTTCTTGTCATACCATTACTAACTATGAACCAATTCAATGAGATCCTAAACATAGGATCTTATCCAACTATTTGACAAAAAAGCTTTATCGATATCCCTTTTTCTCCATAGGATAGTAGTAATAACCAGACCTCAATAGCTCTGCAATGTTCAACGTCGGACCAGCAAGACTCATCCATGGCTCGAGTATCGGGCCAGGAAGGGTTCATCATAAGAGCAGCACCAGAGGACACAACCACAACTCGCTCGACTTTCGCTTCGAGGCATGCTTTCAGAACATTTAGGGTTCCTGTCACCGCTGGCTCGATTAAGTCAACCTAAAACCAGAGTTTCTGTGAGAAAGTCGTTTCCTTTCGTTTCTGGGTCGCTGTAAATTGTAATCAATTGAAGAACCCAGAATCAGGGAGAGAAGAAATAGGGAACTGGCCTGAGGGTTTGCCACAGGGGAAAAGGGAAGAGGGCTGGCGACATGGAAAACTCCCGAGCAGCCTTGAATTGCAGAGAACAGGGATGGGTAATCGAGTAAATCGGCCTTCACGAGCTTCAGATTCGAGGATGCGTTCGGGAGCTGATTCAAGTGGGCATATTTCTCATCCACTGCAACATTCAAATTCAAAAGCCATTACTGATCAAGTTGAAGTAATTGAAGATGTGTTTGATGAACCTAATTTGGGGTTTTTTTATGGTTGAACTTACAGGGATCTCTCACGGTGCCTCGGACTAGATAGTTCTTGGAGAGGAGGAGATGAACAACCCAGGAGCCCAAGAAACCTCCGGCGCCGGTCACGCATACAGTTCCCTTCGCCGTCGACATTAGATAGGACTGAGAGCGTGCGAGGAGGAAGGATAGGGTTAATGTCTAAGAGTTACCTGTAGCTTTTGAAAACCCATTTTGAAAGCTGCCATTATAGATGGTTGGTGGTGGGAACCTGGCACCGAATGCTGTTCTGTCCTGAATCAGAATCAGCCGCCATCTCCAAGTGGCATTAAGGCGAAATCCTTGACGCCAAGTGCGACCGGTGTTCTCATTATTGACGACGCAAGTGCTGACGTGGGTCGCTGCCAAGCAAGGTTGTCAACCCGCTGGTTGACCCGGACCCGGTTGAGCTAGTGGGTCAAAAGTTAATGGGTCACCCGTTTTAGCCCGGAAATATGAAAAGCGTCATTATATTGTACTTATCCTTATATATAGAGGTGGCAATTTCAATCCAATCCACCAATCCAATCCATCAATCCATTAAAAATATCCACCTAATCCAATCCATTTAAATCCAATCCATTTTATCCAAATCCAATTGGATTGGTGGATTCATGGATTGGATCCATGGATCATTGGCAAATTACGGTTTAGTACCTATAATTTTTATTTTTTACATTTTGGTACCTAAAATTTAATTTTTTATACGAAAAATATCATTGGAAAATTACGTTTGGGTACCTAAAATTTTTCATTATGACATTTTAGTACCTAAACTTTTTACATTTTACATATTGGTCCTTGGTTGAGTATGTCATTTGGATTCATGGATAATCCACCAATCCACTTGATCCAATCCATGAATCCACCAATCCATTTGATCCATGGATCCACCAATCCAATCCATTTGCCACCTCTACTTATAAATTATATCAAATCTCATCTAACATATGAGTTATAACATATAATATTACACCAAAATAACATTTCGTACTTAGATTCAACATATAGTGAAAATTCACACACACTTAGGATTCCAAAGATTGAGTTAGGCGAAAAGAAAAATCGGAAAATAGGCGCATTTCGCAAAACAAAGAAAAAATGGCACAATTTGACCTTCAACCCAGTACCTTATAGTGGTCGACCCGACGGGTGCGTGCGACGCGTTTTTCTCACCGGGTCAGGGTCAAAGTGGGTCAACCCGCGGGTTGACAACCTTGCTGCGAAGGCAGTGCTTTTACAAAAAAAAAAATGTTGGTCAAGGACAAATTGATTTGGGGAAGAAGTTGTAACGGATAAATTTGATCTAATTGTCTTGTTTTAGGACATTTGAAGCAAATTCACTCGTTTGTCAGCAGAAAATTTGGATGGATTTATTTAACCCGAAAAAATTCGAATTGATCGGTTTTGAGTCAATTTCAATCGTCTAGGATGGGGCAGGTAATTCGAATTGACTCGTTTTGATTAACTTGTTTTATATAATGAAACAACTGACCAATTTTTTTTTTCGTTTTTTGATTGATTCATCCAAACAATCCCATTTAGGATTGTCATTTGTGTAGATGCCTTACTAGCAATGATTGTGAAATCACACTGGAGGTTGTACCAAAAAAGTTAGTGATATAGTATTTTTATACTATAATCATAATTTAAATAGTTCAACTATTTCATATGCTAATCACTTATCATTTTTGGATACTTATCTAATATTTTCGATCCGACCAAAATATTGCTTACCAGACGTCCCCTTGCACTCTGGATTTAAAGTTCGAGTTTATCACATTAAAACATTGAAATCATTTTCTTATGAAGGTACAGTCTACCCCATTAAAACATTGGAAAGCGTGAGACTCGTTGACAAAGTTATAAATCCATAAAAGAATCAATCATACACTATATCTAAACATTTAAAATAATCATTTATCTCAAAATTAAAACAACATCTATAGTCACTACACCACTCTCCATATAAATTTTTTTGATTCAGCATACAATTAAATCAAAATTTCAAGTTTTCGACGGCTCAAACCAATAAGGTGGATGACACATCTTTAGAAATCTTTCAAACAAAAGCATGATTGAATGGTGGATGTTCATTTGTGGTTAATGGAGAGCAGTATCTTGAAATAAACTTCCACTTTGATTTGCAACTCTCTGAAAAAATCAATTTAACTTCACAGCTTTGGACAAATTTCTAATCACCAATGCCTCCCATCCAGGCATCTAGTCCAAGAAGCCTGCATTCTTATAGCTCTCCACAGATTCCACAAGAGTTTCTTGTAGTGCACGGTAACTCCATCCTAGCCTCTGCAATTTTTTCGAGCTGGTTTCTTTCTTTTCCTGTCCCTCCTCAATAAAGCTGCCAAAAAAAAGAAAAGAAAAAAACGTTTCAAACTGCAATTTGAACTATGCTCTTTCCAAACCAAACCAAACTGGGAACAAGCGTATGCATGAGCACCGAACCTCAGTTTATTGTTGAAATATGTAATGCTATGGGCTTTATTGTAAATAGTAAGTTTGTAGGGACAAAAAAGGATATTTGGCATGCAGCCCTTGTGGTTAGGGTTAGCATGCACGTTGGTTATAAAGCCTAGCGTTTAGGCTTTGTAGCTAATTACGTAATAAGAGGACGATTAGCCACCGTGGATGTAAAGTCTCTCTGAGAGGCCGAACCACGTTAAAAATCTCGTGTTATTTATGATTTTGCACCTTTATTCGTGATTGTTTAACATAGTATCAGAGCCGTGCAGGGCATATTGTGTTTGAAATTTCGTGTTTGGAGTTTTGGCATCCCTAGCAGCGTCAGTTCGTGATTGGAAGCTTCGGGGTCTCTATATTTGTTAATTGGTTGCTGCTTGGATTTCTCTATAATTGGCTTCGGTGGGGTTTTTATTTGTTCGTCGCTGCTCCGCTTCTCGCCACTGCTGCTGCTCGACTTCGTGTATCACAGGTGGGGTTATATTTTTGTCATCGAGCTTCTTCTTGCGCAGCTGTGATCTGGGTTTTCGAGTTCTGCTTCTAGTTGTGCGCTTCGGGTCCTGCTTTTCTTGTGGACGTTCTCGGTCTTCCTTTCTCGCCGACTCTCGCTATTTGTTTCGGTCTGCCATGGACGATTCGAAGGAATCAATTTCCACGCGTTTGAATGGAAAGAATTTCCCTCTCTGGGAATTTCAATTCCGCATTTTTGTCGAGGGTAAGAGGATGTTCTCGTACTTGGACGGGACGGCGGCCAAACCTTTGCCTTCTGCCTCTGATAAGGAGCAAGCTAATTGGGCAGTTAATAATGCCCAAGTAATTACTTGGATTCTTGGCGCTGTTGATCCGAATATTGTCTTAGGACTTCATTCGTTTTCCACAGCTCATGCTATGTGGACTCATCTCTGTACGCTCTATTCTCAATAGAGCGCGTCTCGTCAGTTTGAAATCTCCCAGGCTCTTGCTCTTCTCCATCAGGGACATTCGGACATTCATACATACTACCAAGTCGCCTTGCACCTATGGACTGAAGAGGATATGCTCTTCGCAGCACTTACCAAGGGCGAGATTCCTCCGGCCATGCTTGCAGAACGTCAGCGAACTCGGTTGATGAACTTTCTTATGAAGTTGCACTCGGACTTTGAACCACTCTGTGCTTCCTTGCTGCATCTTAACGTGACTTCTATGGATGATGCATTGGCTGAACTTCTCCGTGAGGAGACTCGCTTGAGGAGCTTGAATCAACTTACTCACTCCACCTCGGGTGGAGAATCGGCGTTCGCTGTTGGACGGTCAGGTAAACCTCACTTTCAGAAACCTGTACCAGCGCATGTTGAGTGTCACAATTGTCATGAAAAGGGACATGTTCAGATTTATTGCAAGAAGAGAAATTATTGTAACTATTGTAAAACTTTTGGGCATATCGTTCTTGAGTGTCCCACGTTGGCCAAGAGGAGTAAATCGGGGGGTTCTCGCCCTCCTTCTTCTCCGGCTTACAGTGCTCCAGCTGCTGCGGGTCCTTCTGCTCCGCCTCCTCCTATTGTACAGGCGTATGGTGTGCAGCCTGCTGCATCTCTTGCGCCAGGTGTTCTTGGATCCGTCCCTGGTCAGCTCTCTATGAACTCTGCTACTCTTGAACAATTAGTGGAGGCGACATTGCAAAAGGTTCTCCCATCTGCACTTCATTCAGTCTTTGCTACGCATAATCATATGTCGAGCTTGCATGATAAATTTATAAGTTTGCGCTCTAGTCCCACACTCGAACTCCAAGTGGCTAATGGATCTCGAATTCCTGTTGGTGCGGTTGGTACTTGGTACTGTCAAACAGCTGAATCTTCATCTCCCTGATACGTTATATGTTCCAGATCTTGTTTCCAATCTTGTTTCAGTGAGACAGTTGGCCGAAAATGGTTGTCGTGTTGTGTTTGATTCCGATGGGTGTCTGGTGCAAGATTGGAGAACAGGGAGGACAGTGGGTAATGGGAGATGGAGCGGATGTACCTTCATACTGGATGCGTTGGACAGCGGAACTGGGCAAGGACGGGTCGTTCGCTCTGTCGAGTTTGGTGATCAGAGGCATGATGGGAGTTCTTTTCGCAATTGTACCAGTAGTTCATTGTCGGACCGGAATAGTTACTCTGTTTCTTCTTTGGATTGGGAATTATGGCATTGTCGATTGGGCCATCCTAACAATGCCCGTTTGCAAACTATGTTTCGTAATAAATTGCTCCCTGATGTTTTGAATTCTGCTTCGGTCCCTTCTCATCTGTGTATTAGTTGCATCGAGGCGAAAACTATACAGAGTTCTTTTAGCTCGAGCGACACCGTCTATTCTGCACCTTTTGATTTGGCCCATACAGATCTTTGGGGTCCATCACATGTCACTTCGAGATTGGGATATCGTTACTTTGCGTTATTCATTGATCATGCGACACGCTATACTTGGGTCTTCTTTTTGGAAACAGAAATCTGAGTTGTGTACGATTGCACAGGAGTTCATCCAACTTGTTCGTACAAAATTTGATAAAACCATTCGAGTAGTCCGTTCTGATCCGGGCGGCGAGTTCAACTCGACCCCCTTGCTGAATTTCTATAAACAACACGACATCATTTCTCAATTGTCGTGTCCCGGTGTATCGCAGCAAAATGGACTGGTGGAACGAAAACATCGACACGTTCTTGATCTTACTCGGGCTCTCCTCATTCACTCTCAAGTTCCATCCTCTTTCCGGGTTGAGGCGGTACACTCTGTTGTCTACTTGATCAACTAACAGGTTAATCCTGTGCTTGAACAACGATCTCCATTTCTCGCACTTTATGGGAAGCATCCTGACTATGGCTGGTTGAAAGTATTCGGTTGTACGTGTTATGTTCTACTCCCTAAGAAAGAACGTACAAAATTGGATCCGAAGGTGGCTAAATGTCTATTTGTCGGATATAGTGACCGTTCAAAAGGATACTTGTGTTATGACACAGTATCTCGTCGCATGAGACTCTCGTGTCATGTTGTTTTCGTGGAGAATATATTGCATTATCGAGATTTCAAGGCCCCTACAGCAATGGACGTTGACTTCTTGAACTATCTTCCTCTCGCTACTCTGCTGGACAGTTCAGGATCGTCAAGTTCTTTGCCTTCGAGTGATCCTGCCACCACCTCTTCTCTTCAGTCTACCTCAGCTACGAGTTCATCGAATTCGAGTGGCGAGTCCTCGCCTGGTCTATCTATGCATGAACACTCACCTAGTACTCCTAGTCCATCTACAGCGACCGCTTCATCATCGGGGTCATCGGACTCTCCTGGCAGTTCACCAAGTCCATCGCCCAAACCTGTGGTTCGTCGTCACTCTACACGAGCTAACTTTGGTCATCCTCCAACTCGACACAATGACTTTGTATCCTTTTCCACTGATCCAGCCTCGGTACAGATTCCCACTTCTTACCGGCAAGCCCGTGGGCATGCCTTTTGGGATTCCGCCATGCAAGAAGAAACCCGAGCCTTGAGGCTCAAAACACCTGGCAGCTGGTCCCTCGACCTCTAAATCAAACTATCGTCGGATGTAGATGGGTGTATACTATCAAGTTACATCCTGATGGCTCTCTTGACAGGTATAAAGCTCGACTAGTTGCACAGGGGTTTAGTCAAGAGTTTGGCATCGACTACGATGAAACCTTTGCACCAGTCCCCAAGATGCAAACTGTTCGTACTCTCTTAGTCGTAGCTGCTCTGAATGGCTGGTCGTTATCTCAGCTGGATGTGAAGAATGCATTCTTACACGGCGATTTAAAGGAAACCATTTATATGGAACGACCTCCGGGATATGATAAAGGTGATGATTCTATGGTCTGTCTTTTGAATCGTTCCTTATATGGTTTGAAGAAGGCACCAAGGGCGTGGTTTGAAAAGTTTCATCATACCATACTTCAGGCTGGGTTTACACAGAGTAACACCGATCCCTCACTGTTTACTCGTTAGACAGTTCATGGTCTAGTTGTTCTTCTCATCTATGTCGACGATATGATCGTTACTGGAAGTGACGTGGATGGGATTCTTGAATTGAAAGACTTCTTGCATCAATCTTTCCAGCTTAAAGAGTTGGGTAATCTCTCATATTTTTTGGGATTGGAGATTCAACGATCGTCTCATGGCCTGTTTGTTAATCAGCATAAGTACATCATGGACCTTTTGGCAGAGGCAAATTTTTCTGATTGTAATCTAGCGATGACCCCGATGGAACAACACTTGAAACTCTCTAAGTCAAGTGGTGATAATCTCTCTTCTGCAGATTGTACGCGGTATAGGAGTCTTGTTGGGAGCCTTATATATATGACTTCTACTCGGCCCGATATAGCATATGCTGTTCAGGTCGTCAGTCAGTTTATGTCGTCACCACGTACTCAACACATCGATGCAGTACATCGGATGCTGCACTATTTGAAGGGGACATCGCAGGTTGGCATTTATTTTCCTTCATCGGGTGATTTGAATCTCACTGCATATGTCGATGCTGATTATGCAGGTTATCTTGACACTCGGCGATCGACATCCGGGTGGCTAGTAAAGCTTGGCTCGTCTATTATTTCTTGGAGGTGCAAGAAGCAAGACCGTGTTTCCAAGTCGTCCACAGAGGCAGAGTATCGTTCGATGTCAGAAGTTAGTTCTGAACTAGTATGGTTGCACTGTCTGCTTGAAGAATTTGGAATAGTGTGCGCACTCCCAGTGCGAGTGTATGCAAATAATGTGAGTGCTATCAACATTGCTACAAATCCAAATCTGTATGAACGCACAAAGCACATTGAAGTACATGTTCATTACATCCGCCAGCTTGTGACAGATGAGTGGCTTCAGTTGCAGTATTTGGTTACTGATGATCAGCCGACAGATATCTTGACGAAGGCTGTTTCTACGAGTCGACACTGGTTTCTGTCACACAAACTGATGTTGCGTCAGGCACCATCAGTTTGAGGGGGGTGTTGAAATATGTAATGTTATGGGCTTTATTGTAAATAGTAAGTTTGTATGGACCGAAAAGGATATTTGGCATGCAGCCCTTGTGGTTAGGGTTAGCATGCACGTAGGTTATAAAGCCTAGTGTTTAGGCTTTGTAGCTAATTACGTAATAAGAGGACGATTAGCCACCGTGGATGTAAAGTCTCTCTGAGAGGCCGAACCACGTTAAAAATCTCGTGTAATTTATGATTTTGCACCTTGATTCGTGATTGTTTAACATTTATAGTTTCATATAAGGAAGCTTACTTCTTGTGATGATTGTAGTCAGGGTATTTATCCGTCACCATCTCAACCATGTCCTTAACACGAACCGAATGAGCCGAGCATATGTACCTCCCCTGCGTCTCGGGTTTCTCATACACCAAGACTAAAGCTTCGGCTACATCACGCACATCCACAACCATCCAATGCTTGTTCTCCACAGAGTCCTGACCTCCTTCTGCAATTATAGTAGCAAGAATGATGAACGAAAGGGAAATCCTTTGTGACATCTTTCCAAAATTATCACGGGATAACAACTGCACTACCTTTCAAAGCCATGGAGAGAACCAAGGTGCTTGCGTTCCTCGTTGGCTGAAGAACAGGGCCCATGATGAGATTGGGACAAACGGTTACTAAATCGAGTCCAGTGGCTTTCCCGTACTCAATTGCCTGGCTCTCTGCTTCTGTCTTGGAAACTTGATACCATCTCTGTAGACAGAGATAATCAACATCAACAGGAAAAAATTACATTTTTGGATATGATACTAATCGGTTCATCAGTTTCGTTTAACCACTAATCAATATGATGGTTAGGAATTAACCAATAAGGGAGGGGGAAAACTAATACCGATAAACAGTATTGATTCACACCTCAGTAGCTCTGCAATATTCCACATCGGACCAGCAAGACTCGTCCATGGGTCGACCGCTGGGCCAGGCAGGGTTCATGATGACAGCAGCACCAGAAGAGACAACCACCACTCGCTTCACCTTCGTCTCAACGCAGGCTTTAAGAACATTTAGGGTTCCAGTCACTGCTGGCTCGATGATCTCAACCTGAAAACAAAACCCAAATTTTTTTTTTGAAATTCACTTTCGTTGAGATCAAGGAAAATTTTCGAGTGCTTCAAGTTCAGTTTGTTAGGAGTATAGGATATATACACTAGTCTGTGGATTCAGTACGACGGAAGAGGGAACAGGACTGGCGACATGGAAGACGCCGGAGCAGCCCTGAATTGCAGAAAGCAGTGAAGGGTAGTCCAGTAATTCGGCCTTCACGAGCTCCAGATTCGTGGATGCGTTTGGGATTTGCTTTAAGTGGGCATTCTTTGTATCCACTTTAAAAGAGGAAGTTGGCAATTTTCAAAAAAGTCAGCACCGCCGGCAGGATTTTTGATCGGAGAAATATGGAAAGGAAAAACTTACAGGGGTCTCTGACGGTGCCACGGACCAGATAGTTTTTGGAGAGTAGGTTGTGAACAACCCAAGAGCCTAAGAAACCTCCGGCGCCAGTCACGCAGACGGATTCCTTCGCCGTCGACATCATTAAGATCCTTCAATTGAGATTGATAAAGAGAGGGTAAGATTAGGCTACGTATATTATATATCCAAAGGATTTCTGGTAATGCCTTTCAACCCATTTTCAAGTGGTGATTATATTAAGAAGGAAAACCCCAAAAGCGGTCGTCGGTGATTATGAATTGGTCAGTTTTGTTTTCTTGTTTTCGTTAAAGACATTCATTCTCCAGGTAAGGGAGATGAAAAAGAAAAGACAAATTGTTGTTTGACTATAGTGAGCATATATTGACTTCTTTAATACAGGCACAATAGTTTATATAGGTTTGGTCACATCATACCCTAGCTACATAACCTATACGAAGACTATTACAATAAATAAAAGGATTTTAGTTATTAAAAAGAAATTTGGTGTATTAGAAGATAAACAGGATTAACACAAGCCGCATTCAAAATTTTGTATTAAGGATATTGAATAATAAAATAAAACTTAATGATTAAATTTACATATGATTGCCTAGCAGCCCAAGTGTTTATATTGCTAGAGCTGATTCTACCATGAGATGGTAGCGGGTTCGATACCTCAACCTTCTTCAATAATTTTCGTTTTTCAACACCCAGAAGGAGCATTTTTGTACTTTCAAGGAAACGCGTTGGCAAGGAGCCGTAATTTTAAGGAAACCCTAAGGACAATCTAGTCGTTTAGACGGGCCAGGTATAAATATCCTCTAATGAAACCCTAACACTAAGCCTAGCGGCGGTGGCGCCTCACACTCTCCCTTTGTCAAAAAAATAAAAAAACAACGAGCAACAAAACAAAAAAACAACTCACTCTCTGGAAAACAAAACGAATGAAAGGAGAAGAAAAGAACGATCTCGACCCTGTTCTTCCTCACGATCTCTTCTCTCTCTCTCTCTGGTCGTATTGAGAACAAAAGGGCACATGAGAAGGCGGCGAGGAAACTGAAGCGATTTGCGCCGACGATGATGGCGGCGGCGAAGGTAATAAACGGTTTTTTTGGCTTTGCATGTTAAGTGCGATTGTAAATTCGGGATTTTTAGGATTCTAACCCATTTTCTGGTTTTTATTTTATTTTTGGGTTCGATCGAGGGGAGAAAGAGGAGATAGATGTCTCCGGCCGGCGAGGCTCCCAGATGACGGTGGAGAAGGAAAGGCCGACCGTCTGAATCTACTTTCTGTGAGTTTTCTCGTCGTTTTATGTGGGTTTTAAAGGGTTTCGGTTTGTTTCTATTTCTGACTGATGGTTTGATTTATTGGGATGCAGGTTTCGGAGATGGCTTAGATCTAGGTGAGTTTTTCCTAAATTCGGTTTACTACGGCTGGAGAGATTAAACTGGAAAAGTGAATCATGTTGTTGATTGGAGAAAGGTTCACAGATCTGGTATTTTGGGATTGTGATCTGGTGTTTGTGGGTGGGGTGTGATGAATATGTGAGATTTGGTTTTCATTCCATATATGCATGATCTGTTTTTACGTATGTGCAAAAATTATGCGAGAATTGAAATATGACATATATAAACGAACTAGTAAATAACAGAGAGTAAATAGCTTAATAAGTAAATAGTAATTAGCTTAACGTAAAAGTAGAGATAGTTATATGCTATTATGACTAATTAGTTAGTAAATTAATTGTGCTTGAAATAAGTAGATAAATGGGTCGAGAATAAAACAGAGATGATGGAAGAGCTGATAATGTAAATCTGGAATTTGATTAGCTTTCAATCACCAAGATTGGAGTTGATTGATTTTTAAAGAGTATTGTGAAGAAAGAGATGCTGATAATGATAATAAGTAGAATGATATGGAAAAAAAAGAATAGTAGAGAAGAGAATAAATCAATAATATATTATCATAACTGGAATATAAACCTGGGTTTTGCTCAATACAAACCTCGTTGGGTTTATGTTTGTCTTGAGGTCTTCTGCTTCTATTTTACAGAAAATAAAGAAGGAAAAAATATTTGTATTTCTCTTTCTATTTTCCCAGCGTTTCCATTCTCTGATCAGACTAAGAACAGAAAGAAACTCTGAATTGACTACGAAAAAGAAGAAGCTAGTATTGACAAAGAAAGATGTGTTTCCCCAGTGTTTTCCCCTTCTGAAAAGCTCTTCCTTCTCCTTGAGAATTGGGCCTCCTTTTATAGAAAAAATGAGGCAGTGGTTTTTGGGTTTGGCCCAACCAATTCTGGTTCGACCAGTCGGTTGGATTTGGTTGTTTTTGAGCTGGCCGGGTCGTTTCTAACCATGTGGGCTTCCCTTGGAATTGGGCCTTGACCGAGCCTTGACTGATCCTTGTGGGCTGGCTCTTCTTTTGGTTGGCTCACATGCGGGCTCTAGTCTTGTAGCTTGTGCTTGACCTTGGACTTTAGGTTTGATATGGACTTGAAATGACCCTGTTTACCTTTGTTGTAGGTCCATGGTTGGCTTCAAAAGAGATGGAAGAAACATGTATTGATTGTAATTTTTATGTAGTAATTCTTATTTGTAATTTGTATTATGTTTGTAATTGTAATTAAGTAATAATTTTAATAATAAGTTCTTCTTTATTATTATTATATTTGTGTTGTGCCAAAAGTCGAGATTGGAAGCCAATAGATCCTATTAGATCCACTGGAATCGAATTTGAATAAACTGTACAATCGTTGATATTTTAGATTCGCAATGGCCGATCTATCTTACGATATTTCACGGGTTTAGGTTTAGAATTTTTAGTTGGATAATTTACCCAAACAAAATGGGGTGTCTACAATTGCCCCCCTTGTATATCTCTTTATGTAAAGAGTTATACAAAGTTCTCTTATAGACACCACATTTTTCCTAGTTTAGTGGAGCATTATATTTGGTTTGTGACTTATTTTTTCGGCGTTCGTCATCACCAATTGTTTCATTTTCCTTGATGATGACGTAAATGAAGCGCACGTCAGCGCTAATTGTTAGGTTTTTCTTATGATGAAGTAAACGAAGCGAACGTTAGCGCTAATTGTTGGGTTTTTCTTATGATGACGTAAACGAAGCGCACGTCACAGCTAATTGTTGGGGTTTCCTGATGAGGACGTAAATGAAGCGCAAGTCAGCACTAATTGATGAATTTATTTTGATGGTTAATTGTTTTATGCTTATTAGCATTGGTGTAGTATTTTTCAGGCGCTCTCCAGCATCAGTGTACGTTTCGAACGCTCACTAGCGTCGGTGTCGTATTTTTCAGGCGCTTGCCAGCACCAGTGTACTTTTCGAATGCTCACCAGCGTCAGTGTTGTATTTTTCAGGCGCTCGCCAGCACCAGTGTACTTTTCGAACGCTCACCAGCGTCAGTGTCGTATTTTTCAGGCGCTCGCAGAAAATTTTCCATGCCTCCCCTGGATTCTAATGAGTCCCCACAGCCCGTAGACGAAGAAGCGCTCGAGCTGCCAACCAAGCTAGAACTAGGGCCAAGCGAAAAAAGAAGCGGAGAGAGTTGCGAGCCTGTACCATGAGGAGAGGAAGTCTGAGAGGACGAGCTAGAACCAGAGTGAAGTGAGGGAGTGAGCGGCTGAGAGGTGTCAGGATCATGACCAGCGGGGTCATCCGCTGGTGGATAGACGACAGCAGGTGGCGATTCCATATGTTGCACAGGCCTAAGAAAATCAAGGAAAGCTGTTGGGGTGTCCTTAGCGAGGGAATAATGTATCACTTGTTCAAGAAACATAACATGCTACGCAATGTGCATACGACGTTGTTCTGTATCATAGCATAGGTAGCCCTTATGCTCATCATCATAGTCAAGAAAAACACACCGAACTGTTTTCGGAGCTAACTTTTGACGATCACGCTTCGGGAGTAAGACGAAACAAAGATAGCCAAAAACTCGGAGGAAAGAGTAGTTCGGAGTGCGATGAAAGAGGGCCTGATAAGGGGATTGATTACCAAGGACAGAGAACACCTGCCGGTTTATGAGATAAACAACAGTGCGCACTGCTTCGACCCAAAAACCAGTAGGTAGGCAGGAATGAAACAAGATCGCCCGAGTTAGTTCCAGAACATGTCAATTCTTCCGCTTGACGAGCCCATTTTGTTGCGAGACACAGGAACATGATTGTTGATTAAGTATCCCATGGGACGCATAGAACTCAAGTAGAGGGTGTGAGCTTAACTCCTTTGCATGATCCGAACGAACAATCTTCACCGTCTTGTGAAACTGTGTCTGCACCATTTTCATAAAGTGTTGTGCATGGGTGACTAGCTCAAACTTGCGTCGCAAGAAATAAATCCACGTGTGCCGCATTGCATTATCGATGAACAAGGCGAAGTAGCAACACCCAGGCGAGACGTAACAGATGAGGGCCCCCACAAATCAGTGTGAACTAAGTCAAATGAATCATTGTACGCAGTATCACTAGGCAAGAAAGATGACTGAGACATTTTTGCCTCAATGCAACTCACACATGAACAGAAAATTCAAAGATCCAGGTTTAAAAGAATAACCTAAGTTAGAGGTCTCGGGACCTGACTTATTTAAAACTTCCGAGGCTGCCTGTTTATGAAGAGAAAACAGATGACTAGTAGTAGAAACTCCAGCCGAGCTCCCACCAGAAATTTCTTGCGCTGGGACCGCCAATTCACCCATGTTCCCAGACTTCTGGTACTCATCTAGGACAAAAACTCGACCATGCTTATGCCCATTCCCGATCACCCTCCATGTTTTATGATCTTGCATGATACATCCATCAGAGTTAAACACCATGCTGCAACTATCTTCTGCGAGTTGACCAACAGAAACAAGACTAGGGACGAGTTCGGGCACATAGAGAGCATAAGATAAGTGGATATTGCCAGAAGAAACCAGGTCGGACCCCTGAACGGGAACATTAGCACCGTTTGCAACCTGCAACATCATAGGCTTGGCTTGCCAAAGCTGGGTGAAACAACTACGAGCACTAGACATATGGTTAAAGGCGCAGAATCTAATAACCAACGAGGAAGATTACCTGAGGCACCACCTGTAGCAAAAGCAACATTCAAAGCTTGCGGAAGAGCAATCTGAAGCACCTCCTTAACCAAACGGCGAATAGCATTAGAAGACAAATCAGCCCCACCCCCAACACTTGACGTGGAGGAGCTGCCGGGTGAGGAGGAATTCTCGACCATCGCATAATAAGAGCCACCAGCAGAGGGCCAGGGGCTCGCACCCTTGCTGTCATAACCATGACGCAGACCACCTTTCCGAGCAAGAGTCTTACATTCCAGAATTATATGATCAACTCGCTTGTAGTAAATACATATATTCCTCTTCTTACAATGAGGCTGGATGTGGCCGACCTCTTGTCAAAAATGACAGGTAAGAGTACTTGTACCTTGAGGCTAAAATTGGGGTCGATTGCTGCTACCCTTAATCACCGCAAATGCAGTCTCGCCTGGGGAAGAGAGGTTGTCAATCTGGGCTTGGCTCCGCAACCTTGTTTCTTCCCGTAATAGCTCACCAAGCACCTCGTCGAGCTCAGTTACCCCGCGATGGATAATTGAAGCACGAACAGACTCAAATTCGGAGCGGAGCTTCATAATGAACTGCACGAGACGAGAGCGGGAACACTCCTTGATAATTTGCGGAGGAGTGGCTTCGTAAGAGAGAGACGCCATAAGAAGATCATACTCCGTACATAAGTTGAGACTAGCTTGATAATAGCCTTGTATATCGGAATCTCCCTGTACCAGTTAGCAATTTCAAATTCCATATCAAATTGGCGAGAAGAGTTGGCTTGGGAATACGTCATGCAGATGTGAGATCACATCTCGTGTGCCTTGGCAAACTGACGCAAGGCAAGCGCGGTAGATACATCAACGGAGCCCGCGAGCCAAGATATAACATGGGCGTTAGCCATAGCCGAGTCCGCTCGCTCCTTGGCCGGTGCAGCATCAGCTGGTTGCGGCTAAGTCCCGGTCAGAATAGGGAGCAGCCCTTTGCCTGCAATGAAATTCCGGAATTGGAATTCCCACAATGCAAAGTTCTTGCCGTCGAACTTTGTTGAGACAAAATCAAACCGACCAGAATCCATCCTGAGAACACAACAAAGAAGGAACCACAAACAAGCGAGCAAAGCCGCGAAGAAGATGCGAAGCTAACCAACGACTGATCGAAATACAGAAGAAGCCTGGAACAAGAGAGAACGCCAAAGAAGTTGCCGCACCCAATCCTGAGACAAAGCAGACGAACCTGAGACGAATCAATGGCTGGATCTCAGCTCTGATACCATGTCAATTTAGCCAAAAAAATGAAAGAACACAAAAGCTTTTTAACGTGGTATCGTCGTTAGACACTAGTCCACGGAGAGGATCTCCCTCTCAGGTTTTAGGTATTATTATTCGAAATTGACTTCTTCGGTACATGGACAATAGTTTATATAGATTTGCTCACACCAAAGCCTAGCTACATAACCTATACGAAGGCTATTTACAATAAAGTCCTCAAAAGTATCTGTTGGCCGGAAGTAGAGTAAGGGGTCGTTTGGAAGTTGCGATTGTTAAATAGATGTATTGTTGAGAATGCATGTATAATATTATACATGTATTGTCGAATTTGATGCATTGTAGAATACAACGTTTGGTATGTGTGATTGTGTATGTCGCATCAGCTAAAAGCCGAGACAAAAAAATCTCAACTTAACTATCTCAACAATCACAACTAAAAGTTGAGATTTAACAATCACTCAAAATGAGTGATAGTTTCTGTCACATCACAGAAACAATCCATGTATTGTTTCTGCTAAAAAAAAAACAATGCATTGTAAACAATACATGCATAATAACAATCTCAACAAAACAATCACAACTTCCAAACGACCCCTAAGTTGATTATGATGTATGTTTAGGTTTCAATCCATTTCCTTCCAGCTGCTCTCTCTGCTTAATCACTTAGCCAGTCTTTTGGTTGTGATTGGATTTTCCTCCAAAGTTGTTTCTACTCCAGCTCGAAAGTTCTTGTTCGCATCTATGTAGGAAAATTTTGGATTTTGTTGGGTGGAAACTACACGTTAAATCATCACGCTGATTTCGCAAGTGGCATGATTCAATCAGAGTAAAGCTAGTTTATGTGTCGGTTTTAACAAAACATGTGAACAAAGTGAGAAATCATTAACAATACATTAGACAAAGTTGAATGTCGCATTTCATGTCAAGAAGTATCACACTTACAACGAGTAAAGTGGCAGGCATGACCAAACTGTGCCCAAATGAAACAACAAGCAATTAGAACGGGGCTTGCTATTTGCCGCCAACCAAATTGCTATTTGCCGCCAACCAAAAAAAAAAGTATATATATACATCTTTGGTTAAGGAGTTTCACAATCTACAACATATCCAACTTTCAGAGAACGTATTGAATCAGAAAAATTCAACGCTCGCCGGAAAAGTCGTCGGAAAATCATCGATGAAAAAAAAAGGTATATATATACATCTTTGGTTAAGGAGTTTCACAATCTACAACATATCCAACTTTCAGAGAACGTATTGAATCAGAAAAATTCAACGCTCGCCGGAAAAGTCGCCGGAAAATCATCGGGAAAGCCTATCCTCGACATATACTGCGTACACGCATCCATGAATCATCACTAAGCAGGTGCGTAATTTTTTTGTAGTCGAACAATTTTTCCGACAATTTGAAACGAACAGACGGTGGGCCGAAAAATTCCGGCGGCCGGAACCTGGCCGGGCCGAAAAATTCCGGCGGTTGCCTACGTGCGAGGTGAGTGGTTGTCTCATCAGACAATTTGGGCAAAGTGCTACACGAACCATGTGTTTCAAACCCTAAACCCTAAACTCTGAACCCTGAACCCTGAACCCTAAACCCTTGGTGGTCGGCAGCGAGCCAGGCAAAGAGACCCCCGAAGAGCTAGGGGAAGGGGTAGGGGTAGGAGCAATGCATAGTGTTGCAATGCTCTATTTATATGTTGTTGTTTTTCTAGTTGTATTTTTAATGACCCTAGTGTCATTATGAACTTATGGATTTCATTATGGATTTCGAGCGAGTTCGGGGTCGATTGGACGAAGATCGGGCGCGAGGCAAGTAAAAAAGAAAGCCACACGGGCACACACACAACTCACACGGCCGTGTGAAGTTGCACTTTGGCCGTGTGGAATTCTGAGAGGCTTCACACGGCCAGGCTGGGTGAGCTACACGGCCGTGTGAAGTTGCACTTTGGCCGTGTGGAATTCTGCGAGGCTTTACACGGGTTCTAGGATGACTCGACTCTATTCGATACTGAACGTTATACCTACCTCTAGGTACACTGCGAATAAAGGGAAGACGCTATCGATCCCTGAATTGAGGGACTACGCGCTTTCAATCCCTTACAGCTGCCTTCCCTTTTACTGCCCGAACTACCAATCGCCCGGTGCTTTCTTTACTTCAACAGAGAATTATTGGGCTAACGCATTCCCATTTCTTGAAACTGAACATACTTCCTCCACCAACAAGATCAGACTTACCGAAAGAGAAGAAATCTCTATTCTTCGGATAAAGCCGGAATCAAAACAAAGATAGAGCTAACCAGTGATGAACTTCCTTGCAGCTTCGAAGGCATTCCCTCTCTTTCGGGTTCACTATCCCACTTTCCCTGTCCTGTTTCCTATCTTAGTTCATTCCCGCGGGATAAGAAAAGACTCATATATAGGCACATTCCCAGTTGAAACTTATAAAAGAATAAACTAGGTAATCTACCTATAACAAGAAGCAACCACCAGCGTTTGGTGCAGCACCTGCATTTTGGTGTATTCTTCTTTAGGCTGGGTGAGCTACACGGCCATGTGAAGTTGCACTTTGGCCGTGTGGAATTCTGCGAGGCTTCACACGGCCAGGCTGGGTGAGCTACACGGCCGTGTGGGAAGCCTGAAACCCAATTACTCGGGCCGAAAAACTTTTGCGGCCGGTGCGCCGCCGGGCCAAAAAATATTTGCGGCCGGTGCGACACCAGGCCGAAAAATTCTTTCGGCTCGACGTCGCTCCGGCCGCATATTTTTTTCGGCCGACCGACGAACACGCCGCCGGAAAATTTTTGGCCGGCGTGTTCGACGACTGGCCGAAAAAAATTCTTTCGGCACGACGTCGCTCCGGCGGCAAATTTTCGTCGGCCGGCCGAAAAAATTTTGCGGCCGAGGCGTCGCCTGGCCGAAAGAATTTTTCGGCCGGCCGTCGCCCCGGCCGCAAATTTTTTTCGGCTCGGCAGCGTTCGGGCCGCAATTTTTTTTTCTGCCCGCCGTGTTTTTCGCCGGAAAAAGTAAACTTACTTGTTTTCCGACGATTGAGGGCGACGGGAGGTTAGCCGACGACGGAAGAACGGTGCCGGCGACGGAGGCACTGGGAAGGAAGGGAAAATTCAAAATTTGAATTCTTTTTTTTTAGTTGGCGGCAAATAGCAATTTGGTTGGCGGCAAATAGCCGTTCACATTAGAACTACTTCAACGGCTCGTCATGCTTTGGCCTATCCGCTAGATACAAGTGTGCAATGCCAGGGCCTTGAGGATCATCTGCAAATAAAAAAAAACCACAGTGTCCAGAAGTTTGACCAAACATTCAGTTTTTTAGTGGATCAGGCCAGCATCATTAGACTATAACACTTAAATATATTAATTAATATATAAAAGTGAATTTTCGAGTTACTATTTATTAGTGGCTCTCACACTCCTTTTTGCAAGTGGAGAAGTTCAAAAATTTTCTTTTATCCCACTCTCCCATTTCACAACCATTGTGTTTCTCATAACAATTATTGCCTACTAATTTTTAAGCTATTGTTCAATGGTTTCTCTGTTCAAGTATTATCCACTGGGTTTTCGTCTATACTATTTTGGCCAAATCATCGCCTTTGCCCACCATTTTGCAGCCCATCTCAAAATACTGTCGGCAGAATCCTAAGTTGTCCCCTTCCACCATTTGCCACGACCGCGACCGAATATCCATAACAACTATTATCCACTAGGGTTTCCTCTATACTTTTACTCAACTTTTTCTTAAAAAATAATTCTCTAAAAGATCCAGTCAAAAGCTGTTTCTACAAAAGTTATAGGAGGCTTAACTAGCCCTACAGACTGAAACAATAGCGTTATGTGAGAAGTTTAAAAATAAATCATATACTCGACGACCCTTATGCTGGTTAATTGCTTCGACGATCACATGTTGTAACTAACAAACCCATGGAAAGAAAAAATTAAGAATGAGCAAGATCACTTTCACTTTTGGATCAACATTAAAACTATTGCTCTTTAAAATATTTGTTCTTGACCACACGCGAAGCGGAAGTGAGCGGCCTTTTGCTAGTATCATTATACAAGAACCCAGATAGTAGTAGCACTTTTGGATCAACATTGAAACTATTGCTCTTTAAAATATTTGTTCTTGACCGCACGCGGAGCGATAGCGACCGGCTTTTTGCTAGTATCATTATACAAGACTCCATATAGTAGTAACACTTTTGGATCAACATTAAACTATTGCTTTTTAAAATATTTGTTCTTGACCACACGCGAAGCCGCCTTTTGTTGGAGGGGGGAGGGGTGTTAACAGTCAAAACTCACGTGGTCACTCATGTGAGAGGTAAGAATGAATTATAGTTGTCATTGGTTTAGAGGTTTGTGGGTGTCCGAGTCAAATAGGTGTTGGAAAATTAAGATGGGTTGGTTAAATTATTAGACCGGTTAGGTTAATCTTAAATTAGCCAGCGTTCAATTGATTTTGAATTAGTCAACTTATTATTTAATTCTCCACGTGTGCCTCGGCAAAGTTTGAATGGCAGTTAAAGAACGTCCATTGGGCTGAAAGTGGTCATAGTTCTATTCTCGAGAGAAATTTCCTGTAATCCAAGGCTTTGTAGAGGGCGGAAATATTCTTTTCGAAAAGTGAACGTAGTTCACGACTCTATCATAATTCTGGTCACCCGGTCTCGGGCTATCGTACGTGTACCCTCGTCCCCAAAAGTCCCAACAATAGGTTAGAGCTAGCTGTTAGTGGGTTGCTGGAAATCAGGAGTAAAGGTAAAGGATTAATTTTTTATTTTATTTTTATAACTAGCCTGTATTAAAAAATTAAATAAGTTCACGGATTACAATGCCATCTTTTGATAATTGAGGTACTAAAATAATGAGAGGACGGTTGAACCAAATCTCCGTTTCCTCCGGTCGACATCGAACTTGAGCCATCAGATGAGCACATTCGTTCCCTTTCCTCCCCCAGAACCTCCATCGCACATTTCCTTCTTCTTCAGCCAGCTCCCGGATTTCATCACAAAGCCCCCCAACCTCCCATGTCGTTGATTCCCTTTGATCCAGCTTCTGAATCACCGATTTACAAACCGTTTCCATGAGTAAAGACAAAAATTGGTGAGCTCTGGCTAATCTCAAACCCCATAGAAGGGCGAGAGCTTCTGCCAATTCCGGCGGCCACTTCGTCATCGTGCGATGCACTGCCGCCATCTGAAAACCATCCCATACCCAGTTCCTTCCGCCCCCAAAATTGTCGCATTCGTGTTCATCTTGAAATATCCATGAGGCGGCGGTTTCCATCCGGGTCGAGTCGACGAAGGAGGAGGTTTTGCTCCTTGGGACTGCATCTGCTGATACTCCTCCAGGTAATTCTGAGATCTCATCACCACCTCCCACTCTTCCAGCTTTGCGTTATTGAATAGATGGTTGTTTCTCTCTTTCCAGAGAAACCATAGGGGTAATTAGAACCGCAGTAAGCTCCTCCTCGTTCGTACCCTCGATTAGATTGCAGAGCCACTCCTCACAATTCTTCCCTTCCCCCATTAGGAAATACCTCGCCAAATAGCTTGGCCTCTTGACTCGCCCTACCCAGTCACAATCCCTCGTTATGTGTTCTTGAGTTTCCACCAATCCACAAAAGGGGCATTCATCATGTGCCTCTGGGATTCTCCTGCCGAGATTTGCCCTTGTAGGAAGGATGTTACTGCCCCATCTCCATACAAAAACCTGAACCTTAGGAGGTAATTGGAGCATCCAGAGTTTTTTCCAATCAATGGGAACATAGCTTTCAATCTAGTCACTCAAGTGTCTTATCCTCCATTCTCTATATCCAGAACGAACTGAATAATTCCTAGGTTTCTCCTTACTACAAATTCGAACATCTGGCCTGGGCCGAATAGAGATTGGAATTTGTTTGATCCGGTCTCGATCTTCAGGTTGGAAGTTTGCTTTCAAAAAATTGCTTTTCCAAGATCGAGTATCCTGATCAATTAATTTCGATACCCTTTCTGTAATTCCCAATCCAGCTACTTGTGTCTGAACTCGGCAATCATCATCTATTGGAATCCATCGATCCCACCATATTCTCACACTCTCTCCATCTCCTATCCTCCATCTCATACCCTCTCTGACCAGGCTCCTCCAAATGTAGCTTGGGTTGGAACCAACCTCAACTTCCAGGATATCACAATGGGGATGATATTTAGCTTTGAGTACTCTCGCCACTAATGTGTTAGGATTTTGGAGTAAATTCTCGACCTGCCGTCCCGACAAAGCAATGTTGAAACCGTGGAGGTTCCTACAACCCATACCACCCTCATATTTAGTTCAACATAGTTTCTCCCAGCTCATCCAGTGAATCCTCTTTTCTTCCCTTTTCTTTCCCCATCAGAAACTAGCTATCATACTCTGAATCTCCTGAATTACTCCTTGAGGGATTAGGAAAACAGACATAGCATAGAGTGTTTGAGCTTGTGCCACTGCTTTAATAAGAACTTCTTTAGCAGCATTTGAAAGAAGTTTCCCTTTCCACAGTTTGATCTTGTTTCGCACTCTATCTATAAGCTGAGAGAATACAGCCTTTTTAGCTCTGTCAATCACTGTAGGAAGTCCCAAGTACTTGTCATGATACATGACATTTTCCATTCCCAGGATCTCTGCCATTTCCTTTCGATTCGCTTCTGAAACATTTGTGCTGAAAGACAGTTCTGATTTAGTCAAATTGACTTGCTGCCCTGACGCTTTCTCATAGATTTGTAGGATATCCCTCAACATTTCACACTAAGGTAGATGATTAGTTAGTGGAGCCGGATTTAGAGTTTTCTCAGTAGACTGAGTTTGTATTTAAGGTTCTGTTTTTGCATTTCAATAAAATTGTCAGTTTGTAGCCAATTTGGTTTGCTTGACTATTTTTAGAAAATACTTGCGTCTCATGAATTTGTAAAAATCTAGTTTATAGGTGAGATTTGGACCAAATTCATAAATAGTGTAAAATCTGTTATGTATCCACGATATAATTCAACCAAATCTATCGTCAAATTCAACAAGCAAACAACAAAAATTTTCAAATCCATAATGGACCATTCCATCACAAAACCCAAAAATTTTAAAATCCATGTTATGATCAAAACCTTAGTTTTTCAAATACAACAACCAAACACTATGTCTTTGGAGTGATAATTTGTCCATCTTTTATTCATCTGTGTTGCTTTGTGAATTGCTTTAGAGGCAACAGAGTTATCGATCCATTTCATGTTAATAATTGTGTCTGTTCCAAAAACTGGGAAAAAGGACTGAATTCTCATTTACTGCCTTCATTATGAAGCAAAACTCGCTCCAGCTTCACTACCTAATCTTGTACTGATCGATCAAGCTCGCCAGAAGCTCTGTCCATTGTAATGGTTCTTCTGAATCCCTGATACATTTAACCCAAGAGTAACAAACCCAAGGACACAGAATCCAGAGTGAGCTGCTTTCATCTTTCAACATCATTGATGCTTTACAATTGAGGGATAGGGTAGTGCACTGGAAAAACTGCAGCATCCTTTGCCCATTCTGTTGATTCCATAAAACAGCATCCTTTGCCATTGATTGATTTTATAAGACAAATATACATGTGTAAGTTTTTTGACAGATAGGCAACCCAAGGCACTCGTACAACATGTAACTCGAAATTATCTATGTTAAATAGACCATCTACTTGACATTTCACTCCTCTCTGCTTCTTAATCAGACACATAAACTCCCACAATACTCTGTACGCCTCGTCTAATACCATTTCCTGTGTGTCTTGAGAAATTGTGCAAGTCTTCAACACATATTAGTTGTCAAGCACCTGCAGGTTCATGTTTTGGGTGTGAAGCTGGAGTCTCCAAATGTGAAGCATCTGCAGAACAGTGAGGCAGGCGGCTTGGACATAACTGATGAGGGAGTGTCTCATTCGTGCTTGACAATAACTTCTTCAGTCTCTCTTTCAGAAAAGGCGAAAGGGCGTCACATGATGTCAGAGTACCCGCATTGTTTATAACCCCTTTAGTGACAAGACTGTTGAAGGCTAACGACACACCATTAGCAACTGTATAAGAACGCATCTGGTCATAGTTGTCCACAAGAAGCAACAAAAACTCCAGAAGGGATTGGGTCATGCCGACATACTGTGGCATGGAACACACCATCAGAAGCATTGCCGGCTCAATATTCATTATGTTGTCCATTCTTTCATCAAAGTAAAGCCAGTCATAAAATAATGCCAACTTTGCATTGGCTTCAACATACTTCTTTCTAAAACTACTTAGCAACCAACCTATAATTGCCCATCTAGGTACAATATCAGAGTGAATAATTTCGTTAGATGGATGATGAGCACAGCATATGAAACGAATAATGTCAACTATAAGAGTCTCCCTCTCCGGCTCAAACAGGAACTTCTTGGCAAACCACGTTTGGTAACGCTTCAGATGCCTAAACTTGACATGAACAAGTAAGAACCTCAATTGAAGCTCCATTTCTGGGGTGACTCGAAGCAAGAAGTACCTACTTGAGGTCCTAGTAGAGTACAGTTGTCCAACATCTGAAAACCCCTCAGTTCCAAATGTAGTTGGATCCAGAACTAAATCCTTCCATATATTGCGAAACTCTGGGACATGAACCAAATCCTGAAGCAGCCTAACTAGGTCCCTCCCAATCTTCATACTCAAATGAAACTGCTCCCTCAACATCTTCACACAGAACTCAATCTCCAATTTCTTCAAGAAGTCCGATCGGACATTGCCTGATACTCTACAATGATCGGCCAACAATCGAAGATACACATACAATGCACTTGTCAACACAGAGGGCTCTTCTTCCAGTAAAGAGATGAAGTTTGTCAATAACAGATTAATAAGCTCAAAACACAACAATAAACCCCTATCAGTATAATCACAGCCGACAGTGTGCCTCAACAAACCCACCAGCAAACCATCAAACCCAACCCCGAAAACACCAACGATTTCGTTAAGAGCCCAAATCAACTGCTGCTTCACAGAATCAACTAGCTTGTTGTACAACTCAAGCACAACCCTAAGAGTCAAACTAACAAAAAGGGCATACCCATCGGAGACCAAGCCATGAAGATGCTTAAGATGAATCTTGGCAAACTGTGGTTCAGTTAGGAGTTAGGACCCCGTAAAGAAGAGCATGATTGAGTTGGGAATACTCCTGCGGGGTTGGGATTGCTATAGAAAATGGGGGCCTTAATCTGGGTTCAAGTTCCATGAAAGCTTGCCTTAGTGAAGACTCAAACTCGTTTCCCGCTTCATGGGTACCAACATTCAGCAGCTTTGATTCCATATCTTTTCTCGATCTTGAGAATAAAACAGAGACTAGAGTTAGCTCACCAGATCAAGATCACCTAAATCGTCACTTCTCCCGCTCCAAAATGCCACTTCCTGGCAATTCGGGAACTGCTTTTCCAATTGTCGCAGCCACCGAGAGCGAGATAAGGAGGCTGTCGCATATCTGATCACCGGGAAGCACTGCTTGAAGGGAATTTGACCCTTTTGGAGGAAGAAACTCGTCTGGCGAAATTCCTCCACATATTCGCAGCAAGTTAAGAGAACTGTGCTAGGAAGAACGGGCAGCTGCTGAGGGATTGGAAGGGGACCCTAAAAAGGGTATCTTGAAGGAATACTGAGAGAAGCGATCGTTATTGAGTTTAAGAAGTTACGATGTAGCGATAATGTGAAGGAGATCATGGGATGGATATTGGAAAGAGTCATGGAAGTGAAAAGCGGAGTGGGGAAGAAGGGAGATCGATTGCAGGCAGGCAGGAAACTGGGAAGGAGGTTTGAAGGGCTGAGCCGCTTTCAGAGTCAACCCCTCTTAAAACAGTCAGTTACCACTATTCCGACCGACCCGCTAGAATAAATTTATTAGAGAGCGGCGGAAAAGGTAAATGTGGTGGTTACTCGTGAGTAGGATTGTCATGGGCAGGTCCGGGGCGGGTATCTCGATACTCATATCCGTCTCATTGCAGGTCGGGTACAGGTCGGGTAATTATCACGGGACGCGGGTCGGGGCAGGTCGATCCATTCGGTATGTAATTTATGTGAAAAACAGTAGAAATATTCGTTCTTTTCATTGAAAGACCAAGAAAGAAACCATAATATGTTAAATGTAGTTAAATTATTGAAGAAATTGAGGTTTTCACTTATTTACAACTTTATTATAGATGTAATAAGAGGAAAATCTTAAGTAATTTGACTAATATTATGGGGTCGTTTGGATGTGGAAATGTAATGAAGTAATTGGATCCAATTATCACATAACGCAATAATTGGGTTAAAAACCCATGTTTGAGAGAGCAAAAATGGTATGGAAATTGGCTTCAATTACCACATTCATGGTAATTGAGAATACTACACCTCCCCCTAGTAATTTGACATTACCACGTTTTCTTAGGGGTTGTTTGGAAGTTGTGATTCTTCAAATTGATGTATTGGGTCAATTAGTGTATTATCATTTGATGTATTGAATCAATTGATGTATTAGACAAATACTTTGTTTGGAGGTTTAGATTGTGTTTTTGTTGTAAAGACATAAAAGTTAATTTGAGTGATTGTGAACAATCTCAACAAAAAGTAGAGATTCACAATCTCTCAATTTTGAGTGATTGTGGTGGGGCCTCCAAAAAGTGAATGCATGTATTATAGTTCAATATAACCTAAAAAAACGACTTAATCTCACAAATACATGAATTAGCTCAATACACCATTTGAAATCACAACTTCCAAACGACCCCTTACTTCTATTTCCAAATTCCACACCATCAATTCCCACAAAACTAAACCCTATACAAACGTGATTTTTTTTTCAATTTCCACAATTCAATTCCTTGGTTTTGTACAACATGGAAATTTAGACAAATTTCAACGTTTTAAAATTTCCACATCCAAACGACCCCTATATGTAATATAGTCGAGAAGGGGGCGAGTCGGGGCAGGTCGGATCGATGAGAGGTACCCATGCCCGTCCCGTCCCGTTCCGCTCCAAAACAAGTCAAACAGGTCGGGTAAATTGGGTCAGGTCAAAATTGCTATTCCTACTTGCTTTCCTGGGCCGCGAGGGAGGGAGAGAGAAAGTCAGCAAGGGCTCGACGGGAGAGAGTAAAAGAAGCGTAACGTGTATGGAGATTCGCTACTGATTTTGCCGACGGAAGCAGCTGACATTAGACGGAAGGAAGCTCGGCGAGGGCGACAGAGTAAGCGAGATTGGGAAGAGAGTCGTGGCACGCTGCGGGTCCGACGAGAAGAGAAATCAGAACGAGTGAAGATCGAGGAGAGCGCAAGGTTTCTGCTTTGAATTTCTTGACGCCGTCGGTGATTTTCTTACCCTTTCTTATTTCGAAACTACAATGGGTTTCTTTGTGATTCAGCAATGCCTTCACGCAGGCGAAGTTTTAGGGTTTACCCTCCTCGGGAGATTGTTTGAGTAGTGGAAGGGAATGGTTTAGAATTAAGTGGTGGTTGAAATTGAAATTTACGCTAGTTAGCTCTTAGTGTTGGAATTTGGTATGCCATCGATAGACATGTTTGTGAATCTGTTGGTTGTTGCAGGTTGCTTGAGTGAAACTGCTCAAAAGGTGGCTTCTTTTTCTTCCCCTGTGATGTGACCTTTCTGGGGATTGACTGACTGCCTGCTTTATCTTCCCCTAAAACGTTTGATGTTTGTTTGATTCGTCTGGTCTTAACTAATGGAGAAATATCTTCTTGTGGTAAAGAAGTTGTTCTTCTACGAATCAGAGTGGAACTAGATTTTCACTTGCTTATCCTGAGATATCTAGTGTTTTCCGTTCTTAGATAGGTTGGGGAATTGTGACTCACTGGCTTTTATTTTGTGCTGTGATTGTTGAGTGGAGAGCATGAGAAGATAAATGCTTTTGGTTTCTGATTTGATAGATACAGTTTCACCATGAATGTCTGTGAGGTGTTGATTTAGTAGGTTTTGTTTTGCTAACCGGGGTGTTTGTGGGAAATTATCCAGGGAAAAGCTTTGTGAAATGAGAGGAAGGAGTTACAGTCCATCACCCCCAAGGAGCCACAGTAGGAGGAGGAGGAGTCCAAGTCCTAGGGGACGATATGGTAGTCGCGGAAGTGGGAGAGATCAGCCTACTAGTCTTCTCGTTCGGAACCTTCGTCACGATTGCAGGTTGGTGGAAAGTCCCCATTCGTATTCATAAATACTGGCTGGAGATGTTCTTTTGTGTGTGTGTGTGTTTGGTCTTGTCTGGTCTTGTCTTGTAAGATTGGCATTCTGTTTCCTGTAACCTGATTGCTTTCGCTCCACAGTTAATTCTCCTTTTTCACATACCGAACTGATTTGGATGAGACAGATAGTGTCAGCATCATACTTAATTGTTCTGCAATTTCACACATGAGGAACTTAGGGTATGCAACTCCTTTATTTTGCAGACCAGAAGATCTTCGTAGGCCCTTTGAACGGTTTGGTCCTTTGAAGGATATTTATCTGCCCAAAGATTATTATACTGGGTGAGGATGTGTTTCTGATTATAGACTGTTTTCTTTTTGTCTATGGCACCTCTTGGTTGTGGTTTTGTAATGATTGCTGGTGTTTAAGTGTTCCTTGGTTATTTTCTTTTCTTTTCTTTTCTTTCCCTCTTTTGCACGTTTAGCTGGTATCATTTTCTTTGTAGACCACTTGAAAAAAATAGGGAACGTGGAGCAGTTTCAGAGCTTGAATCTCTGGGAATACAAAAGAATGGTTGAATTCCTTATGAACTGCAAATTTTAGAAGTTCAGTTTCTGACAGTTTAATTTTACTACTATAAGATTTTGGTAAGTGCATGTCATTAAGAACCATAGTTCCATGAAAGAATGGTTGAATTCCATAGAAATTGCAATTTAAAAGTGTAGTTTCTGACAGTTTAATTTTAGTAGTGTAAGATTTTGGTAAGTGCATGTCACTAAGCACAATAGTTCCATAAAAGCGCTAATTAAGTGAATCTTAAGTTTTTATAGTATTTTAGTTGGCTTAGAATTTGTGTTTGGATCAAAGATTTGTTTACTATGGGGTTTTCTTCATGATGTCATCTCTTGCAATTAAAGTTGGGTGGCCGTTAATTAAAGTTCTTGAGATGTTATAGTGAAATATAATGTTTCGAAGACATCAACCAAGTAATTAGAGTTTTCTGGAAGGTGGTGGTAATGGTAGTGAAGATTGAAGGAAGTGTGGGTTTGAATACATTATGAAGATGTTTCAAGTCTTGAAGAGTCTCGAGACATCTTCTTACTAACACTTGAAGGTCAGCAAACCAGGTGCTTGCTTTCTGATGTTAATGTTTATTGCGAATGACCTTTGTATATATTACGAATTGTGTTAGTACACTTTGTTGGCAAAGGATGGTGAACTTTGAGCTATTCATTCACGACCTATGAATTGGATCCTCATATTCCTTTTTGTTTCTGCACTTTTTATTTTGAAGTGAACCTCGTGGTTTTGGGTTTGTCCAATATGTGGATCCTCATGATGCTACCGAGGCCAAGCATCAAATGGATGGTCGAGTTCTTCATGGTCGCGAGTTAACTGTTGTGTTTGCGGAGGAGAACAGGAAGAAGCCTACTGAAATGAGGACAAGGGAGCGAGGGAGGTAGGATTCACTTGTTCACTGGCTTTCATTCTTTAGATTGAATGTTCTCTAATCAAACTATATGCGAGTGAGAAGATGTTTTATCGAGATTTCAATTAACACGGCCAAGTGCTTGATTTCCAGTGGTGTTCGGTTCTGTATCCTGTTGTGCTGATATTTCAACTGTGTGATCTCTTTCATATACTGGACCAAAATCATTGTTTCTTTGATCCATTTAGTTAACTTGTTGTCGCACTTAAAAGTCAAGTATTATAACTAATTCTGCTATACTCATCTTGCTAGAGTAGTATACTTTGGAATAAGAGGATAATTGATCAAGTACAAATCTGCATCCTCTGTATTAATTTGGAGATAGTATGTAGACTTCTGCTGTCTAACTTCAGTGGAATGGTGGTTAACTTTGCAGTAGAGGAGGAGGAGGAGGAGGTCGAATGCGTGACAGGAGGTGGTCCCCACCTCGTTATTCCCGCTCCCCTCGCTATTCACGTTCACCTCCTCCACGCGGGCGTGCGAGATCAAGGTCACACAGTGGTGGTTATTATTCTCCACCTCCAAAACAGCAAAGGCGATACTCTAGGTAAATGATGCTTTGGTACTTCCAGACTTGTTCATTTGTTAGTGTCTGTCTCATATGGTGTGACTTGGTTTATGATTCTTTGAGCAGATCGGTATCACCTCAAGAGAGGAGGTATAGCAAAGAGAGGTCGTACTCACCTCGATCGAGGAGCCGCAGCCAGACACCACCTCCGAGGAGGGCTCCAAGCGAGGAGGGAAATGGGGTTGGGAGGAGCAGGAGTCCCAGCAGAAGCCGCAGTCCACCGCCACCTAGGAGGAGCAGGAGCCCTGCAGATAGGTCCCTTAGCCCGTGATTCTTCAGCCTGGGTGGAGAGTTATTCTCTTCGCTCGCTCCTTCGTTCGTTCTGTGTCTTTTAAAACGGCCACCGAGTTTGCCCTGTAGTGTAGTAGCGGATTTGGGGATATTTGGTAAGTGATGTAGGCTGCAATATTCTCTGCTTCTGCTTTTGTTTTGATTCGGTAACCTGTAGCATGGTTAACCTGCAACTTGGAATTCTGTTGTTTTTAATCCAACCAAGCCACTTTTAGGTTTAGCATAATATTTCATTTTGTTTTCGGTTACAAACCCAGTTCATAGTCTTCCATAGCAGGAATCTTACAACAATAGATAACTTATTCAGAAGAAAGGAATACAACTCTGACTCGTTAACTGAAATCCTAGGACTAGGGGATGTAATTAGAGATGACAATCAAACTCGCGACGACATGATTTCATAATCCGAAAGACAATCAAGTTAACTGAAATCCTAGCATGTTGTGGATGGAACTAAGAATCAAGGGATGAAGTAGAGATGGTTGGAGATTTTGAAAGACCTAGCAGCCACAGCATAGCCTTGCAAGTCACTCCATCGATCTCCACAGCTCCCATGGATCCTGTAACCTCCGTCTACCAGCCCCTGCCTCTTCTCCGATTTGTACTCGCTCGCCGGCTCCTCTTCATCTTCCACCTCCCTGCTTCCACCAGACACATTGGCATCGTTAAATTGTCATAAAAGTTTGGGTCTTGGAAATGAAGGCGAAAATTGATTACCTCAAGAAGAACCTTCTCCCAGCCACTGTAACCTTGAGCGAGGAGATTCACGGCAGAAGCATTCCTCTATGCTTCGAGCCGGCCGGTGAGAATGAAGATGGTGAATCCCAGGCTTTTCAGCTCCTTGTATAGTTCCAAGCTCGCCGGTAAGACTACAGACTGGGCATGCGGCTTGGTCCACCCAATCGTTCCAAGACTGTGTTCATGGACCGACCGTTTCGCACTAGTGTATACAATTCCGGCGACCAGCCACACAAAAAGAAACGTTCAACAAAAACCACAACCCATGAGGATATAAATATATGATTTGTTATAAGAACCGGACCGGGTGAACGGTTATATCAAGTAGAATCGTCAAGATAATTACAATAGCGGCGGTTCAATTTATGTGACTGGATGGTAAGAAGTGAACCAAACAATTTTTTATGGTTGGATATCGAATCAGTCAACCAAATGAACCATCTCAATTTGATTTGTTCACTCGTTATGGTTACTAATTTTACTTATTCTTCATTTTCTACCTCTCTACTGGATTTATGCAATTCAATACCGACTACCATCCTAATTGCTAATTTGAATTTCGATAAACTTTTTATAAAATTTCACAGTTTGAATGGTCCATGAGACGTTTTGGTGTTGGATTATATGAATTTGGAGTTATTGAGTCCTAAACTAGTATGTTATATATGTTTTATTATCCGTTTTAATAATAATAATCAACCATTAAACCATGAAAATTTTCCAATTCAACATTTGATTTAGTTAGGAAAACAATCAAACATGGGCATGTGAAAGTATCGAGCTACATTGACCGTTGAACTAACTAATCAAATTTTACCTGAGACCGTGGATGCCGTAGTAAGGCAGATTGGTGGAGAGCAGGGTCACGTCGACGTCGAACACCCAAGCGTCCTTTCCGTCTCCGGCGACCGGCACGGTGCGGGCATACGCCGCCGCCTCGGAAGCGTACACCTCCAGGTCCGAACTGTACTGCTCCCCCTCGAATACTTCACGACGTAGTCGGCGCACCGCTTCAACGGTTCGGTCCACGCGACGGAGTTGTTGGCTTCCACTAGCAGCCTCCAGCTGTTGCAGTAGAGCTGGTCGTCGTGACGGCGGTTGTGGTAGTGCGCCCTGCGGTCGCTAGGGATTCGGATTAGTGGCCGGAAGGCAGAGGTAGGGCCCAGTACGAGTAGGAGGAGGAGAATCAACGTCGCCGGGATCGACATTGAGATTTTGAAATGTGCGAAACGGCGGGCCTAAGGGATGAAACGATTTTCTTTTTCTTTCTTTTTCTTTCGTTCAGTGGACGAATGATTGAATGGATCTGGAATTTGCTTCGCTTGTTCTGTCTTTATAGCCACATACAATGAGCCGAAAACGCTCATTATTAGCTTGACATTCGATTCAGGAAAACAATTCGTACAACACTCAACTCGTTTACATATAAAAAATTAATATAGTCAGTTCATATTTCTACAGGGGTTTGAATCTGTTTGAACCTAACTGGGTGTAGGAGTGAGATTCACGAGAATGGGTCGAGGAGAATAAGCAACGAGAATCAGCCGAGAATTTAGGAATAAAGGGAAGGAAGAATGAAGTTGAGAGAGTTGTCTTTTAGAGAGAGAAGTTTGCTCTTTGCTTAGAGATAGAGTCTGCAAAATTCGATCCCCTCACCCACCAGAGTAAATGCCATATTTATAGGCTACATGGTGGTGGGTGGGTTACATGGTGACATGACTACTGACATGTCAGAGGTCTAGACCATACCTCTACCTAGGACAAGTACATTTAGTCTTTTTTTGGAATGGCGCCATTTGATTTCCGCGCGATTGACTCAGGTTTGCTTGATTCTCATGAGATTTTTCGGGCTGATGGTTGTTTGATTTCCGCGCGATCTTCATGAGATTTTCCGTGTCGGCTGCGCGTGACGCTTTTTACTGAGCTTGGACTTTTGAGGATGTTTTTTCTCCTCCACGGGTGTGCCATGCCCCCCAGGCGATGCGCAGAGCTTGTGACGTCATCGGCTAGTGCCTAATGTCTATACTAGGTATCCACGTGTCTTTGTATGAATGGTCGGCTTTGGCGGTCGTTTTGAAATTCAAAAAGACTCTGACGGTTACGTTTCTCGAAGCAACTTTAACCTTTCAGCTTTCCTTTCTCAAGTATAAATAGTCTGCCATCGGGGGGTTGAAATTCATTCTGCTTCTTCATGTTCTGCCTCCAGTTTCTCTACATTGGGTTTATCTTCGAGATTCCTCTCCTTCTTCTACAACCTCGTTTCTTACTTGCTGTTGCAAACACTCAAAAGTTTGCCATGGCTAGCATCAACATCGACGAGATTGAGGTCGTGCAAGGCGAAGAAGGTAATCTCTCCTCTCCTTCGCATGTTTCTACTGATCCTTTGTTGGATCTGGACGATTCCGGCAATGTGAACGGCAATGGTGCTTATGATGATGGGGTTCCGGCGACGCCGACATACGACGTCGATTCTGGACGAGATTTTCGCGGCTCGTCCGATGCGGATATGACGGCGTCTAGGAGTGGGCAGGCTGGCACAAGTGCCTGTGGGGTGTTAATAATCCGCCGCGACCGTGCCGGTGGATCTGGGGGTGCGAATCTTGAGGCGCGCGAGGGATCTGATACACAATCGGAGCCACGCTGCGTCGCGCGCGTATCTGAGGAAATAAGCCGCCTAGGGTTCTGCGGTGTGGGAGAGGCGTACAAGATTATTGATTGGGCGGAGATGTGGGGCGATGAGCCAGCGCCGCGGGACAATCTTCTGCGGGGACCCGACCACGCGTCAATCTACAGGCGGAAGGAAGTGACAGAGATTGTCCGCGGGTTGGGCTTGCCCCCCAGTTGGGAGTACGCGATTCCTTCCACGCGGAGTACTGTTGGTAATTGCCCCCAGGGTGGATCGGGGTGTATAAAGAGTACTGGGTGATGGGGTTTAAGTTCCCCATTGACCCGCTACTATGCGCGCTATATAGGCGGCTCAACTGCTCGGTTGGGCGCCTGTCTCCATCAATCATTATGCACGCGAGTTGCCTCCGCCTTGCGTGTAAGAGGCTCAACATTCCGCCATCTTACGGGTTATTCTGTAAGATGTATAAGATCAAGGAGCCGACGAAGAAGAGCGACTCTCTCTCGATCAGGCGACGCGACAAGAGGCCCGACGGCTTCGTGTATGGGTCGCCCAAGTTAAAGAAACCTGGTTCGAGCGCTTCTTCTACGTTAAGCCGACTCCGGGGAGGGGGGGGGGGTGGGCGAGTGAGTATGTGGAGGAGCCCACCGTTTGGAAGAAGGGTAGCACGCACGGCTACGAGTCGGACCTGGGCAAATACGACAGGCTAGACGATGAATATGAGGCGTGCCTGCTGTAGAAGTTTAACCTTTACTTGGGCGGGGTCCGCAAGGCTTGTTTGGCGGAGCTTTTTGCAGATGGTTAGTTGTGTTTCTTTCTTTATGCATTCTATCATATTAACCGCCCTCTTACGATTTATTGGCGCAGGTGTTGACTTCTCAAATTTGGTCAGCATGATGTCGGTTGATGACGTGGTCGTGAAAGCTCCGAGGGCTCCGCGCGGCGAGAAAAAGAAGGAGACCGCGCCATCTGGGCGAGTGAAGAGGAAGTAGATCGAGCAGCCATTGGTGGCGGAGAAGACCCGGAAGGCAGCTCGGGTGGACGCTCAGCCTGAGCAGGCGGCTGAGCAGGCGGCATAGCGGTTGCCGCTCGTAGTTGTGGAGCCGGACGCGTCCGGTGCGCGAGTGGATGCATCTTCTCGCCCTGAGAAATCAGCGGCTGGAAGTTCATCCGGCTTCAACAGAAGTTGCCCGAGATGGCTTCTGCTATCAACTATTTCCGCGACGTGCGGATCCACACAGGCGCGGCGTGCAACAACGTGGCTGCTAATACCGCGCTCCGCGCGTTGGGTCCTCATCTGAGTGTCCCTACGCGGCTGGAGAAATCTGACCCGCTGCAAGACCTAGCTCAGATCCACTTTGCGGTAAGGTTATATTGAATTGTTCGCGCGGTGCATCTATCTGCTTCTTCATTAAGTAGAAATTTTCGCTAAGTCTTGTAGCGCTGTGAATGTAGGGTTTGCTGGCGACTTTCCGAGCTCAACAAGAATGGGCTTCGCAACTCGCGAAGCTGAAGGCGGAGGAATCGAGGATTGTCCAGCTGGAGGGCAGGCTCGCGGGGGCTCAGAATCGCGCGGAGGTGGCGACAACCAAGGCCAACGAGGTTATGGAGGAGCTCAGCGTTCTGCAGAGCAAGTTGGCGTCGGATGTGGAGGCGGCAAAAGAGCGCGTCCGGACTGAGGAGCGCGGCATGATCCGGGAGGAGCTGGAGGCGGATTATGCGTAGAAGCTGAAGCAAGCCCGCGAAGAATTCTAGAAGGAGAAGGAGGACCTGGTTGCCTTCACAATGTTGCGAATGCAGAGGCAATGACTAAGACAAATCGTCTCCCTCCTTTGGGAAGATTTTGACGGACGCAATGACTAAGACGGTGATCACGGTGAGCAAGAAGGTGCGACCAGAGAATTTAGGGGTCCGCTGGAACACTCGCGCAATGGTGCGCCATGTCCAGATGTGGCTGGGCGAGAAGAGGTCCCTCGAGTCTGATTCGAAGCCGGAGTATGAGGAAGAGGAGGCGCGCTCGGATTCGGGGGAGGATGAGGATCAAGGAGAGGATGCGGGGAAGGATGACCAGGCTGACGCGGCGCAGACTAACGCTGGGGATGCTTCGACAGATCAGCAAGTGTAGTCGCGCTGTTTTGACACATTTTTTTTATGCAAGTGTAGTTCCTCCTTTTTTTGTGTATTTGTTAAGCCTTTCTCCCGCTAATGCAATCCAAAACATTTCGATCCAGCGTATCTTTAATCGTCTGAGCACATCTTCACTCTTCATTCGACGCATAATTCGTAGTAGGCGCGAATAATTCATAACTATTGCTCTTTCCTGCTTTTTGTTGGCGCGAATAATTCTTAATTGTTGCTATTTTTGTTCTGTCGAACTTTTTAGGCGCAGATAATTCATGATTATTGCTATTTTTTGTTCTTTCGAACTATGTTGGCGCGAATAATTCTTGATCATTGCTATTTTTTGTTCTTTCGAACTATGTTGGCGCGAATAATTATTGATCATTGCTATTTTTTGTTCTTTCGAACTTTGTAGGCGCAGATAATTCATGATTATTGCTATTTTTTGTTCTTTCGAACTATGTTGGCGCGAATAATTCTTGATTATTGCTATTTTTTGTTCTTTAGAACTGTTGGCGCGAATAATTCATTATTATTGCTACTTTCTTGCGCCAACACGCGAATAATACATCAATTTGACCGGTAATATTTCCTGAGATTCTGCGCATTCCATGTCCGTGGAATTTTGGCGCCTCCCAATTCGCTAAGGTTGAAGGTGTTGGCGCCGACAACCTCTCGGATTAGGTACGAGCCTTCCCATGTTGAAGCGAGTTTGCCATGTTTGGGGTCCGGGCGGAAGTTCCTGCGCAGCACTTGATCTCCGAGGATCAGTTTGTGCGGGACTAGCTTCGCGTTGTAGTACTTCGCTACCTGCTCTTTTGTCGCGGCTAGCTTGATGGCTGCCAATTCTCGTCGTTCTTGTGCTAGCTCCAGGTCTAGCAGACGTGCTTCATCGTTATCGGCCTCATCATATGCCGTGACCCGATAGGTTGGGGATGTTATCTCAATGGGTATCACCGCATCGGTGCCGTAGGTGAGCGCGAACGGGGTTTCGCCCGTTGTCACTTTGAATGTGGTGCGGTGCGCCCACAACACCGTGTTGAGCTCGTCCGGCCAATTGCCTTTGGCTTCGTCCAGTCTAGTGTGAAGGCCGTGCAAGATTGCTTTGTTGGCCACTTCCGCTTGGCCATTGGCTTGGGGGTAAGCTACCGATGCGAATCTCGCAATGGCTCCCACTTGGTCGCAAAAGTCTATCACCTCCGCGCAGTCGAATTGTTTCCCGTGGTCGAAGATGAATGCATTTGGGACTCCAAAGTGGGCCAGGATATTGCTTTTTAAGAAGCGTGTTACCTGATGCGCCGTTATCGAGGCCAATGCTTCCGCCTCAATCCACTTGGTAAAGTAGTCCACCGCCACAATTATGTACTTGCGTTTTCCCTTGGTCATTGGGAAGGGCCCAGGAGGTCCACCCCCATTGCGCGAAGGGAGATGAACTCAAATTGCCTTGGAACTCAGTCGATGGAAGATGATGTTGGCGCGCGTGTAATTGACATTTATGGCATTGGTCAACGTACTTCTTTGTGTCCTTTTTCACTCGCGGCCAATAGTATCCATGCAATAGTATCGTGCGTTCCATACTACGCGCACCGGCGTGCATCGCGCATAGTCCTTCATGCAGGTCACGAACCATGGTGCGCGCCTCTTCTTCCCCAATGCATTTTAGGTATACCCCGGAGTATGACCGGCGGTACAACTCCACACCAATCAGTGTGCATCGGGCCGCTTTTTGTCTTAAGGTCCTTGCCTCTTTGGCATCTTCTGGCACCGCGCCGTCTTGTAAGTACCTTATGATCGGGGTTCTCCAGTCCTAATCTTGTGTTGTCTGAGTGGTGTTGACCATGGCTTCTTGGCAGGTTTCTTCTTCCTCTTTCTGCATCGACACCAGGCGCGTTGATTCGAAGTCGGTGGCCGTTGCTAGCTTGGATAGCGCATCGGCGTGCATGTTTTCTTCCCTGGGTATTTGCACGTATGTCACCGCCTCGAAGGTATTTTCCCGTTGTTTGACACGCTCCATGTATTGTGGGGATAAATGCTGCTCCAAGAAGCTAAGGTCCGCCCTTCCTGGTGGTTCGACTCGTTGCGCTTCAATTGCGGGCAACTCAGCCGGCGCTTGTTGTGGTAGCGAGGCAGTGCCTGACGCCTCTCCCAGCGTTTGTTGCGGCGCAATAGGCGCCACATCCGTCGCTGTCGCGGCTTCTCTGCTCATCATGAGCGTTATGACTTGGCTCATTTGTTTTTGAATGTCGGCTATGACGTTGTTTTGCTTCGCCATTAGCTGCCTCATTTCCTTGGCTGTCAGTTCAGGCTCTTCTTCTTCAATGAGCACCGCGTTAAGGTTACTGGCTTCCGCGAATGCCCTTGGGGTTGTCATCGCCTTGATGGGTGTTGCCTCGTCGGGCAAGTTGGAGTTGTGCTCTGCCATTGGTTGGATTTCTGCTGCTTCTCTACTCGGCTCCACGGTGGGCGCCAATTGTTTGCACCTAACTGGGTGTAGGAGTGAGATTCACGAGAATGGGTCGAGGAGAATAAGAAACGAGAATCAGCCGAGAATTTAGGAATAAAGGGAAGGAAGAATGAAGTTGAGAGAGTTGTCTTTTAGAGAGAGAAGTTTGTTCTTTGCTTAGAGATAGAGTCTGCAAAATCCGATCCCCTCACCCACCAGAGTAAATGCCATATTTATAGGCTACATGGTGGTGGGTGGGTTACATGGTGACATGACTACTGACATGTCAGAGGTCTAGACCATACCTCTACCTAGGCCAAGTACATTTAGTCTTTTATTATACCTAGGCCTATGATGGTGACCACTCATCGGTGGGGGGGGGGGGGGGGGGGGGGGGGGCGTCGTTTCCACAGTTTTGCTGATTTGGTCAACGCTGGACTCGAACGTCGTCGTTCGGTGTTCGGGCTGTGGCTTCGGTCGCGTCGGTGCTAATGCGCCCGACTCTCTTGGTAGTGCCGCTGGTGTGCCTTTTTGGTCGCGTCGGCGCTAACGCGCCCAACTCCTCTGGTGCCGGTGCGTCGGTGTTTCCTTGGCGCGGCGAGATCCGAGTCATATACCCAACATAATCAACATTAAATTAAATGGATCACCCTCGAAAGGTCAATACAAAAAAGGCTAACAGTTGTGACAAAAACTTACTGACAACTCAGAAATTGCGTCGAAAAATATGCATAACGACGACCAAGAGTTTTCGTTAGTGCTATATGCACCATTAATGACAGAGTTGAAATTTCGTAAATAATTGTGTTTTTTTTTGTCATTAATATGTATTTTGGGTCGGTTTCAATTTTCCACATTCATTATTTTTGTCGATTTCGTTTTCCGCATTAAAAATACTCAATATTACTGACCAATAAAAAATTGTCGTCAGAAAAAATGATTATTATTGACGACCAAGACACGATTGTCAAAAAAATTTAATAATTTTGACACCATATACAGTTCGTCAGCACTAGTTAGAAAAAATTATTTTTGACACCCTCAAAAGTTTGTAAGTACTATTTGGTTAGAAAAAATCATTTTTGATGCCAATAATAGTTCATAAGTACTGTTTGGTAAGGAAAAAATCATTTTTGATGCCATAGAAAGTTTGTCAGCACTAATTGGTCAGAAACAATTATTTGTGACACAATTAAAAGTTCTAAGTACTATTTGGTCAAGAAAAATTACTTTTGGTGCCAAAAACACTTCGTTTGTACTGTTTAGTAAGGAAGAAATCATTTTTGACGCCATAAACAGTTCGTCAGCGGTGTCATACCACTTGTAATGGTGTCGTGTCCATTCTTCTTGTAACCAACGCCTTCGCGAGCGGTGTCATACCACTCAAACTGAAATAGTACAACTCGAAGTCGTTCAGTATAATGAAGCTCGATCAATGCATCAGTTATGAACTATGGAAATAAGTCGCGGCTTGGCGTGAAACCAGATGAACCACTCCGACTTAACTGGTTCACTAGTTCACTATTTTAACCACACAAAGTAAGAACAAAAATACATTAAGGTAAACTAAGACCATCAAATCTCAATCACTAATTTTCTTTATGCTTCCCTTTTTCATTTATCAGCTTCTTTGTCAGATCTATCTGGTTCACCATGGATTGACACTCTATAATGATTAACGATTGAACTATCAATTACTAACTTTTCCAGTTTAACATTTGGTCCGGTTCTAGTAAACAATTATCGTTGGAGCCCTTATCAATTACCATCACTTAATTAATGGTAAAAGAATATTGTAGGACTGAGAACTATTTTTTTTATAATGTAGGACTGAGAACTATTATTATATGAGAACTAATAATGAAAACATAAGAAGTTGGTAAAAAAAGGCACCTGATTCAAAAAATATAGTGCAATTATACTTTCTCAATAATAAATACCCTAATTACCGGGAAAATAAACAATAAGGACCAGCAACCGTCGATCCAAATCTCCAAAGCCGCCTCATCAGTTAGTATAAGGCCATCTATAACCCTAGTTCTAGATTCATCTATGTAATCTCAGACGTCCATTTCTCATCTGTATACCATCAATCCACTTAATAAATATAACCAAATAAAACCCTATCTTCGTCTAGACGGGGAACACTTTCTTTTCTTCCATGTTCTTGACCTTTCATATCCCCGGTGACATTTCCTCTTCGGTTTCTCTTTGTCTCTCCACCTCCAGCGATACCCTCTGCAATCTCTTCTACTCCTACTGCATCCAACGCTTCGCTCTATTTCTCTTTGCATCACTGGTATTTCTTCTTCTCTTCGGCCACCTCCTCCTCTTCCTCCACCTCTATAGTTGTCAGCAACGATAGCCAAGGTAGATCAGGCTTCTAAGATTCGTATGAGTTTAGTTAAGTAAACGTACGTACATCTTTCAAGTATATTGAATGAGTTTTTTTATTTAATCTTAGATCTATCGTTTCAAGCACCATCCTTGATGTTTTTCTGGCACTACTGACAGGCAAGTGTTGATAGATGTGACCATCACCTAGCGAAAAGGCAGTGACGGTGAAACAACGCGTTATTTCCTTATTGGCCCTGCAGCAGCAGCTCCTTCGTGTCTACTACTATACTACTGTTATTTTTATACAAACTATAAATTTTCTTTGGGATGTTGGAGACGATACTCCTTTATTTAGTGTATGTATCACAGTTAAAAACAACAATCTCATCTCGACATATTTCTCTATTTTAGTTTTTAGGGGTTTGATACGTAGACTATTATTATCTTATTTTATTATATTTGAACTAACTTTCACATTTTCTTTTATAATTACTTGATTTAACAATAAAAATGAAGTATACGTATGGAAAAAGGGTTAGAACATATAATTTCACGGGTTGGAAAATTAAGTGACTGAAGATGAGTAAGTGTGATTAGTAAATATAATATTTTCCAATGACGTGTTGGAATAGCATTTTTTTATGATAAACAGTTGTCCTCGGTAAATAAGATTTTCCCGACGACATGTTGGAAAAAACGTAGCTTTAACGAAACTTTGTTGGTATCAGTACAAATAATATTTGTGACTGTCTGTCGAGAATAATTCATTATTGACGGCCAAACAACCTCACAAATGTGTGTACAACGTATAAAAAAATTCGGCCTCAAATTCTCGTTACAAATATTTATTTTTGACGATTTGTGGACGTTAGTATAAATAGTATTTATGATGGCTATTCAGAACTTCTTGATTATTTACGAATATAATTCGTCAAAAAAATAGATTTGTTGTCGAAAAAACATTTCGTCAAATTAATTCGTCATGGGTGATTTCATTTGTGACGTCATTTTTTTATTATTAACGATTTTATGCCGTCGTTAATAATTTTGTTCCGACGACAGGTAATTAATATTTTATTAGCGACGGAACAATTTTTGACGACGTCCGACTAGTGTATGTCGTCGGAAAAGTTTATTTCCGACGCAAATTGATTTATTTCGACGAAAAACATATCGTCGGTAATGACTTCCTTTTTTGTAGTGGGTAATATGCCTATAGGGTTTGTGATTGATTAATCCATTTATTGATTACATACATTACGAAATTGAAATTGATGAAGGTCGTCACTCAGTCTTAATCGTGCACACAAAGTCACCCTTCACTAGTTTAACCAACCAACAATTTCTAGTCAAGTGATCTATCCATAGGGGTTTGTGATCAAGATTCAATAGTTTATGATACAAAAATCTAATTGCATTTTAAGTGGTTAAATATCATATATGTACCTCTTCCAAATTGACCGGTGAATGACACGGTATTAGAGTTGGTTAGTTTTGAGGTCACGTAATCAAGTGCTCACAATTCCAATATCAACCGTTGTCGTTAAAGCACATGGTCTGGCGGGTCCAAAGCCCATGATTTGGCTTCATTTGAGGCAGGATGTGTAACGAAGTGGTTAAATACCATATATGGACATCTCCCAACAACATCAGTTGGTTTATGATATCGTGTCAGAGCTAGTTTGTCCTTGATGTTACTTGTTCAAGTTCTTACGACCCCCAATATTAACCGTTGCCTTTAAAGCACATGGTATGGCATACATGCGTAAACTTCAAGCCCCAAAAGTTGGATTTCATTTGACTGAGCATATAAGAAGGTGGTCAAGTGTCATACATAAACCTCCCAACAACTCGAGTTATTGACAGTAGTTGGTTCCACTTTCTTACGATAGTTTCTTAGTTATCACATCCACGCCGGTGAGATTTGGTTACTATATCAATGTTTTCGTTATTGTAGTTTAGCATGTGTTTACACTATTTTGTGATGAGGGTTGTTATTTGCCGCCCGACCATTTACTATTTGCCGCCCATAATTTTTAGTGAAAATGTCGTTTTTATCCCTCGTCCATTTCTTCACAACACCCAGCCTCATTCCACCACCACACCGCTGACAAACCATCACAACCGCCGCCGTTAAACCACCACCAGTGTCAGAACATCATAGCCGCCGACAGACCACCACAACGACTAGCGTCAGACCACCGGCCGGCGGACCCCGTACGATGGCGGCCGTCGAACCCCGTCCGATGGCGATAGTCGAACCCCGTCCGATGGCTGCCGGTGGACCCCGTCTGATGGCGACGATCGACCCCGTCCGACGCCGGAGGGCCCACATATAAAAAAAGCTTGATATTGACGGGGAGCGATGATTTCTTTCTCTTCGACGGCAGGGCAAGTTCATCCCAAATTACGTAAATAACGGGGAGGGATTACGGGGAATATAATAAGGAAAGTGTATTAATAAATGATAATTCGGAATGACACGCTAAATTAATAAAGAAAAGTATATTAATTAAGGAAAGAGTTTTTTATATAATGAGATGTTCAGACGTAGTTGAAGATGGCTTGGGCCTTGGGTTGTTAATGGCTCAAGATAGGGTGCATAACCATGGGTTATGCATCCATCAATAACCAAATCTGGACCCTTTAATTAGAAAATTCAGACCTAAGGAAAGAGAATTAAAGACCATTTTTATTTTTTCTAGCTTTCTTACTTGACTCGTATCTTTTTCGTTTTAACTCGTATTTTAATTTTTTTTGCACAGATGGAACTAGTTCATCGTGCTCTACAAAATGAGATCAATTTTCACAATTTTTAGAGAAAAAAAATTCTGGCCTCTCGGTACCAACTACATACCATATGGTA